TCTGAACAATTTCCAGTTGAGAAAATAAATGTTGAACACAAAAATAGTTTCTGAAAATCTGCTGTGATACACAATTTTGTAAAATCAATTAGGCCCTAGTAAATCAACTCCAAAAATAGTAAAAACTGGAGGAAAGTTTATACATGTAGATAAACATGTCAGAGAAAGGAATTTTATACTTCCCATTTGTAAAACTCATCAGTTTTGTAAAACATGCACGAACATGTGCACGAAACGAAAACGTGAATTTGTAAATTCCTTTAAACATAACAATCAATTTCAAACTTGATAAAACTTGAGAATGTTTGCAAATAATATTTTGAGCAGTTAGAAAAAGAATTTTCCAATTTGCATTTCCCAATTGTGAAATCTCATTATTTTGCAAAAGTGTTCAAAACATGAAACTCAAAATCATGCATGTATATATATAACTATATATATACATAGAAAGCAAATACGTGTGTATATATGATATTGAGCTTAATGTACTTAACACACATAATATAAAAACCTAAACTAGATTACCCAAGCCGATATTGATCTTTCAATAAGGCTTGACTTGGTACACTTTGCGATGAAGCTTGAACTGATCTTTAACTTGAATTGTATGTTGCTTCACTCCACAATTCCGCCAACCTCCATTTGATATCGTCGTTATGGCGCAATCCATCCATGCTCCAACTATGTTGTTTGCTATAATAAATAAGAAACACAAATACTAGACAAACACATTAGTGGTAAATTGTTTTGTTAAACATCATCAAAACAAGAAGGCCACAAGTTGATATTTTACGCGTTGAGTTGAAAGAGCCGTTAAAAAATGGCTGTTGTGGGAAATTTACCGTTGTACAGTAAACAGTAAAAAACCTCTATAAATTCACACAATTCACAATCCACACAACTCTTTCATAAAAAAAACTATATAATCCTATCAAATTACAAATCTCATGGATCCCTCCCAAAAGCAACTAACTATTCGTCAACTCCCTATACTCGATCGAAGGATCGACCTTATACATCGCCCGTTGCTATACAGAAGTCGTACGAAGAAGGTCATCCATCGAGGTTATCACAATCGCGCAACACGACAAGTGTCATCGCCACATGGTTCCTGATCCGACACAAGAAGAAGAAGGTTACACGCGGTCCCGAAAAATTGGACTGTCCACGAGGATAAGCTTCTTGTTGTCTGCTTGGCTGAACACTGAGCCAGACTCCATCCAAGGCCACAGGGCAACACAAAGATAAGTTCTGGCACAGAGCTAACGACTACTTTATCCATAGCTTCCAGCGCGAATCCAACGAATCGCACACCAAACCAAATGATGCACCGTTGGTCAACGATTCAACTATCTGTCAACAAGTTCTGCGGGTGCGTTGCTCAGATTGAAGGAAGACAAAGATCTGGTACGGGAATTATTGACCAGGTAAATATTTGACTTATATGTTTTTATGTAAATATTTAACTTATATGTTTGATTATTCTAAATTTAACTCTTGTGTAGACTGCAGAAGTAAAAGAATTATACCAATCCCTTTATGGTAAGCCATTCGTGTTTGACCATTGCTGGGTTGAGTTGCGTCATCACCAAAAATGGAACCAACAAATGGAAACTTACAATAAGATTCGATCACAGCCGAGAAGAACCACGAACTCTGATTCCTCACCAAACAATTCCATGCCAACGACCCCCATCGGGTTGAACACTGACTCGGATGAAACATTGACTCGGATGATGTTATAGCAAGGCCTGAAGGGAGGAAAGCGGCAAAACTCAAGAGAAAACAAAATGTGGAGAAATCTGAGTCCGCTAAGTCCATTATGGGAGAGGCTTTCGCGTGGATGAAGCAAACCAACAAAGAAAAAATGGAGCTAAAACAGAAGAAACAAGATGACGATATCATGAAGATAGATCTCTCAACACTCAATTCAGTTCAACGATAATACTTTGAAATGCGTCAGGCAGAGATATTGGAGAGGTGGATGTCCAAGGGTTCTTCCTAATTATCATATATTGTACTCGCATCGCATCCTCATTAGTTCTTCCTAATTATCAATTAGTATCTTATATTAGATTTATGATTGTACTTGAAGTTGAAAAATTTGGCATTGAATGAAAACAAGTACTTTATTAAAAATGAAATTGGCGTAATACAACAACTTGAACTCCTTTTCTGAAATTACATTAGACATAAAGAAACTTAATCCTCGGCGATGGATCCCTTAAGCTGCCACAGATGCTCGATCAAATCATTTTTTAGTGATTTGTGTGTTTGCGTGTTCCTGATCCGATGATGATTTTGGATGAACTCAGTTAGAGGCACCGTCTGCACATGAGAAGGTTCAACGACTGGTACCGAATCAGTAAAGTCGAAGTTGTTGTCCAATTGACAATCACGTTCATCTTCAACGATCATGTTATGCATTATGATACAAGCTGTCATGATATCTTTCAGCACACAAGGTTGCCAGAAACGTCCTGGTCCACGAACAATCGCAAATCGAGCTTGCAACACGCCAAAAGCTCGCTCAACATCTTTTCTTGCGCTTTCTTGTTGTTGAGCAAAGTACTTATGCTTGTTTCCTCGAGGTGCTGGAATAGTCTTCACTAATGTGGACCACTCTGGGTAAATCCCATCGGCGAGATAGTATCCCATATTATACTCGTGGCTATTGACAGTATAGTTGCACGGTGAAGCTCTTCCCTCCGCAAGTTGTGCGAAAACCGGTGAACGATGTAGAACATTAAGGTTATTGTGAGACCCCGGCAGTCCAAAGAAGGCATGCCATATCCAAAGATCTTTGCTAGTTACGGCCTCCAAAATAATTGTGGGTTCATGAAAATGTCCAGTATACATACATTGCCAGGCAGTTGGACAGTTCTTCCATGTCCAGTGCATTCAGTCGATGCTCCCAAGCATACCAGGAAAACCTCGTTGTGAGCCTTCCTCGAGCAGGCGTGCAACGTCTTCATTAGTCGGTGCACGAAGGTATTCCTCTCCAAAGATGTTGATAATCGATCGAACGAACCTCTTCACGCTCTCAAGCGACGTACTTTTACCGATCCGAACGTAGTCGTCAACGGCGTCAGCGGATGCTCCATATGCGAGCATCCGCATAGCTGCAGTAATCTTTTGAAGACTAGATAGTCCTAACTGTCCAGCACCATTCCTCTTTTGGACGAAGTACTTGTCATGTTCGACGACTGCGTCGTGGATTCGAAGGAATAACGAACGCCTCATTCTGAACCTTTGACGAAAATAATAAAGAGGATAGGTTGGTGCGTCAGCAAAATAATCTTGGAATAACCGATTGTGGCCTTCCAGTCGGTTTCGATGGAGCACGATACGTCGTTTGTGTTGAACTGAAGTTGAACATTTCTCTTGTTCTTCTTCCTCAACGACAACAGCTCCCATAAGAAAGAACTTCTTCATCATTTCATCATCGCTAGAGCTAGATGAGCTAGACATTTTATTCTGGGAGATGATGGGTTGAGGAGAGAAGTCGTCGAATTTTATAGGCATTAGTCGGATGACGGTCAAAGTTTGCGATACCTCGAACTTCGTGCCCAACATCGAAAACCGCGGGTTACATCGAAGATCGTGTGCGTTCCCTCAAAAGCCGCGGGTTACCTCGAAGACCGTGTGCGCTCCCTCGAAGACCGTGGGTTGCCTCGAAGACCGTGTGTGTTCCCTCAAAAGCCGCGGGTTACCTCGAAAACCGTGTGCGCTCCCTCGAAGACTGTGGGTTGCCTCGAAGACCGTGTGCAACGGTTAGAAATAAAATACAAGAGGTTTAAATATAATTAAAAGTAATGGATGAAATATTAAAATAGAAGAGATGTTTTTTTGATATTGTTGGAGCTCCTAACTAGGAGCTTGTTGGAGCTGCATAAAAGAAGGAGTGCCTCCCAAGGTATAATTTGTTAATTTTTTATTTTAAAAAGTTTGAGAGTTCTTGAGAGCATGCTGACTAGGACTCCCAACTGGGAGCTTGCTGCACTTGCTCTAAGAAGTCAATCTCACTATCTCGAGTTCAAGCATTACGACTCAAATTCACTCCGCCATTGTTCACAATTTCACAATCTTTCATACTTTATACTAAAGAAACCCTTAACCCTCTCTCGACCTCCTCAAAATGCCCCCAGATCGCCGATCTCAATTCCACCTCCCCTCCGCCTGTCATCGGCGCCGCTCCGCCGCCGCCGCCCTCCTCCTACTCTACGGGCCGCCCAAAGGACCCCACCGTCGACGTCACCTCCATAACCCTCTCCTCCTTCAACCCCGCGACCTAAACCTAACCCTAGCCGTCCACGTCACCAACCCCAACTCGTCCCCGTCGTCTACTCCCCCGCCGCCGTCTCCATCTCCTACGCGGGGCCCGCATCGGTTCCGCCTTCGTCCCCGGCGGGTCCCAGCCGCCGCTGTCTTGTAGGATGCTGCGCGCTCGGTGCCAGGCTTGATGGGACGAAGATGGGCCGGGGTGTGGGGGCCCTGGTGGTGACGTGGCGAGGAGGGAGGTGAGGCTGGATGCTGACGTGGGAGATCAAGGGGTGGCGAGGTTGGTTTGGTTCTTGAAGAAGAGGTTCTGTTGCTGGAGGGGTGGGGAGTCGCGTGACGGTGGACCCGGTGTTTCTTGAAGTCGTGGACCAGGAGAACGTCGCCCAGACGCGTCTTCTTCTTCCTTGGATGTGATTTCTTTTTTTTCTTTTTCTTTTTTTTTTTGGGTGCTTGTTGTTGTTGTTTTATTATTTGTTTTGATGGGGTTTGTCGTTCATTTAATACAAGCTTTTCACGCCTCTAACCTTGTTAGGGGCTGTTTGGATGGGGGTATTTTGAAAGGGAAAGGAGCGGGAGAAACTACCAATTTGTCAGCTTCTACTATGAAAGTTTTTGACTAAAATTTCGTCAACTTCTGTCATTATTCAGCAAATCATATAATTTGAGCGACAAACATGAAACCTGTGGATGGCTCAGAAGAAACTTGTGACGCGAATACAGAGCTGATGAAGCCAAGTATATTATTACAAAATATTCAAAGTAGGACAGATGAGAATCATAGCTATATTACAGAATACAGATATCCCCAGGAAAAAGTAACACAAAACATATCCTATATTTCTAAATCTTTTATCTCCGAGTATTCTTTCATACTCCTACCTCCATCTCCAAGTAGTACAATGTAAAAAAAAATTTGAACATGGGGACCTAAGGAAGCTCCCCTTCTCTTTCTTACAAAACACTGTAAATAATAATAAGAATACAGTACACAACAACCACAAGACCTGTATTCTAAAAGCCATCAGTTAAGCTGTATGAGAGGTGAGCGTGGTATCAGAGAGGGTTTCTCTTTTGATGACTCATAAGGGTTACTTTCCCTGAACTCTTCCAATAGAGCATCCATGGGCATCGATCTAAGCGACTCAATAGTACCCTTGCTGGGCAAGTCAGGCTCAGACCTTACTGGTGTCTCGCCGCTGGGTTCATAATCCTGAATTCATAGAGTGCAGAGCACATGTTTAAATTAGGATCGGCATAATGGAAGGATTTGGAATAAAAGAAAAAACATTATGCGATAGCTAACCGCATAAGTATTTTGGAAGGTTTTCTCAGCATGCCGGTTGATATCTGAGGCCTGGCTCCCATGATCCTCCTGCAGCTGCTGCAGTGCTGCATAGTGGGCTTCCATTGCTGCCAATGCTCCTTTAGTTGACTCCTTCGTGTGTTCTAAAACATCTGAAAAAGAAATTTTTGTTTTGTTGTTATGGGAAAGTAATGAGTTTTTCCATGGTTACAGGCTTATCCCCTATATGGTGTTTAGCTTTTTTAAGGTTTCATGACAACTAATAATGTTATTCACATAAGTGAAAGGACTCTTTTCCTCATATCTATAACTGTTATATAGTTCACAATTAAAGCAGCAATGATTATAAATTATTTTGAACATTAATGAAGTTATTCTTTGGAGAAATACAGTATGCAAATGTACTCATCTTTAGTTTAACCGCTAACCTCTTTATACTCCTCATTCTAAATCTAATATAGATTTAATCAGAATCCTTTAGTTTAACCGCTAACCTCTTCATACTCCTCATTCTAAATCTAATATAGATTTAATCAGAATCCTACATTTTGAATATTAAATTAAATATTCAAATTTTACACCAAATAAAATCCTAAATGTGTCAAGTCAGTTAAAATAAAATGTTAATATTTGACAAATCGGAAAGCTTGAACTGCACAAAGAAGGACCCTTCGCTCTCGGTTTAGTACAGCTACCCATAAACCTTTGATGCTTAGTCTCTATCAATCGTAACTGATTCAATCGATCGGTCGAACAAACTTCATTTGAGATAGTGGCGTAGTTAATTAACAAAAACAAAGATACGAGAAGAGAATTCCAGTTCGGCTTCTCAATAAGTCTTTGAAAGAAATAGGTGTGTTCGATTCACTTTTTGTCCTCATTTCCGAAATTTATGTTCTTGTCAAGTGAAGCTTCTGAAAGAAAGTGGGATTTCTTATTCCCGCTTCTGACTATTTCTTTTTTTTTTCCTTAATTCCCTAGTCAGATCAACCTGATTCATTCTATCGGAGAACCCACTGCTGGGAGTGGCTTTGCCACCAAGGCCGAACCATTTATTCCGTGCAACTGCAGTTTGATGGTCGTTCAAAATGATACCCGATCAGGCACGGATTATCCCTTCTTTTCATCACAACATGATTTATAAGCGTGATGAAAAGGCTGATTTACTTGTTCAATGTTATCTTCCGTTCTTCTCCCTATTTACTAAGACAATAGTATTAAAGCTCAGAAATACATTTACACTAGGCATACATAGAGTTGACTAGAACTACGTGTAAATTCTAACGGAGGTGCGAGGATAGGATCACAGTGGACTCATATTTGGACAACTGAAAGAGATATCCCTTAAATATTATATTTCTATTTAAATTAATTTTGAATTTCTGTGATCTATATCCTTTTCTAAACTAAAATTATGTGTAAAAACAAAGGCAAATTAGTCTAAAAAGTGATTGTATGACCAGCACAGTACCATTTTCAAACTATAGGTCAAAGTGCTAACTGGATATGGAATAGAGACACCATAAAGTCTTTATCCACTCTACGAGCTGACTAAATAAGGATATGCTCCGGTTCTACTCAGATGCTAATTGTTACTATCCATATTCAATATGTGGGGACCTAATCCACATTATAGCACCTTATGAAAGAAGGTTCATTACCTTTCACCTGGTTTTGAATTAAACAAATGACATTGCATCAAGAGCACATAATTTACGTTAAGAGATGTCTCAAGAGATGAAATGAAACTCACTCTCAATGTGATGTTGGATATCCTTGTTATTCTTAGTCACATCCTCCTCAATTACAGTACGTGCTGAGGCAATCTCAGAATCATGTTGCTCATTATTCTCGATGGCAGTTCTACAACGAAAAGGAATCAGTCAACTTAAAAAAAAAGATGGGATAAATGCACTAAAACAACTAACCTTATAAGTGCATCCGTGTCAATGACATGTTTGCTGCTCATCTCATTAACAGATTCATGTGTCTTCTTCCACTTGTTAGAGGTCATATCAATAGTGTTTACACTGAGAAATTAAGATTACACAGAAGGTTAAGGTAAGTGAAAAAATGGAGTGCATAAGCATCGCTTCATGAGTAGGCACAGATACAGATAAGGCCTGGAACAAACCATTCTTGAAGAAGAAGTTCCATGCGACAATGTTTTGTTGAAGAGAAGTCAGAACCATCTTTGAGATCGTGTTGTGCTTGCATTGACATCTCTTCCCATTTCCGCTTGGCATCAGTTATCACACCTTGTTCAAATGATACATGCTCATTCAATAATACCTTGTTCTCCACAGCTGCATCTCTCAGTGCAATGAGTCTCCCGTTAACCTGGAACGCTCAGTAATGAGTTTCCTCACTGAAGACAATAAAGAAAGAATATATGACAGGACAGACCAGTTCTTTTTGTCGGTGCATGTGATTAGATACAAGACTCGTCATATCGGCTATAAGCTTCTCTGCTTCGGACCTCGATTGCTCCTGTTTACAGCACTCAAAGTTAAAATATGTGACAAGAGTCAGGTAAATAGGCCTCAAGATGTGAAAAAGGTACCTCATATGCCTTCTGAAGATCAGCAAGGCAAGTTGCCTGAGCTTCGTGCATGAGACTTGAATGACCTTGAAGCTTCTTCGATTCCTCACCCAGCTTGTCAAGGAGTGCAAGAATATAATTGGACATCTCCTTTGTGTGGACCAAACTAGAACAAAATCTCTACAGTGGAGATCAAGATAGTTGATAGATGAGTAAACCAAAGCTTCTGAATATTTTTAACATTAAATGACTTATATAGTGAAATGACACAAGTTACTGACCTCGCTAAGCTCTTGAGCGAAGAGTGCAAGCTCTCCTCGATGAGTAGATAATGTACCTTGCAGATCCTTAATGATAAGATCTGCTTCTCCTTCCCCCACAGCTAGCAACTGGTGAACAATGGGTACTTACATGAGTGACAGTTTCGTGTCATGATAACTGGTATAGGGAAGTATCAATACGTACATGAAGAAGAGAAGAACAATTGGAAGTAACAGCAGATGAGATCTCTTCAAGACCAGCATTGGAGGTTGATTTATGCAAACGCACTGCATTCTGGATTCCTTCTACATGATAAGCATACAAAGCCCTTGAGGCTGACACTTTCTTCTTCAGCTCCAAGACTGCCTGCACATAAAGTGTGAACATAAATATACACGGACAGGTGTCTACAGGGTATATAGTCTACATGCATGTTATAGGCTTAATCCTACACTTACCTTTTCATGGAAATTGAGACAAGATTGACAAAAGTTCTCAACAGAACGAAGATGTTTATTCTGTTTCTCCATAGATGCAGCTACTAGTTTGCAGAGCGCTGTAACCTTCTCGGTGAGATCACCCTGAAAATTGTTGACTGTTGACCTATTTGCAGCATTCAGTTTGTCTTCTCTGGCTGCAACATCAAATCCAGCAAGGAAACAAAGTTCAGATTGTTATACAGAAAGTTCAGAACTGCAATTTGTCAAATGCAAATAGTTAACCTATTTTAGAAAACAGTGAAGCATTATCGCTAATGGATTTCTCCAACTCTGCTCGCAAAACACAGGCTTGATCTGCCAAAGCATTTTCTGTGCAATAAAACTTCAGAAATTAAAAACTGATAGTCTTAAACTTATATAAAAAAAAATACTCAACTTTTACAGACCAGCTTTCTTTTGTTCAGATATAATGAAGTCTTTTTCCTTCAGAGTGTACTGGGATTGCTTAAGATCTTCCTTTGCAGTGGCTAGTAACTTGCTTGTACGATTCAAAATTTTCTGCATTTATAAAACACAGAAAGAATATAACCCATGAGATTCTAAATATACTAAGAATATAATCCATGAGATTCTAAATATACTGCCTTAGTGAAAATAAGAACAACAACATCAACAACAATCATTATCATTCAAACCTCCGTGGCATCTAGTTGTTTTCTCAAATCAGCAGAGTGATGAAGTTGCGTGTTATACTTCTCTTGCAAATCTTCAATTTGCTGCAAAGGACAAGTTATTATGTATACGTCAGAGAAGATAAAGGAGTAAAACCCAAGTTCATGTTGGAACAAAATCCCAAACAATCTAACCTTTTGATGGTTCTCTAGCAAGACCCCCATTTGTTCAATTTGCTCAGCCATTGCCTGTAAAGAAACAAACAGAACAATCAGTCGACGAAATCACTGCAAAGACAATTAATAAAATTGTCTTGGGTGACAACTGTGTAACTACTAACTACTAACCCCTTATGAATGTTAAATACTTCATATAAGACCATATTTTCTAGATTTAAAACTAATTCTTGCCAAACGGACAAAAATTAGAAGAGTGTAGGAGCAGCTCAAGCATAGTATCGAAATTTGTTGAAAATACTTATGAAAATGCTCCTACTTTTTGAGAGAGATCCTAAAACTATTTTCCACTTCTTTAGCAGAATTAGCCAAACTCCTAATCAATCCTCTTCCTTCTTCCCTAAATATGCGCAACACTTATGACTTTCCTCTTCTAGCCAAACAAAGTTTGACAAAGGTAAAAATGTGAGATTCATACTTAAGTTCAAATAATGAACTTAGACATGAGAAACTTCTTGGAGTGGGGTCTTCTAGCGACACAGTCATTTACACCATATGGAGCTAGTAGATTACAACTACCTTGGCAACAGATAAAGGGGGAGAAAAACAGAGGCAATGTATTGATTCATGTTATGATTTTTTTTGCTAACATCTGACATATTTACCTTCCTTTCACTCTCCTCTAGGGAGTATCGTTCTTTTGGAATGTAAACTCCATTTTTTTCACGAGTAGCATTGAGCTCTGAGAAATAGAAATCAAGTTAATTTTCCAAGGTAGCTTTGTGCCAGAATGAGTTGTCACAAGACTACAGGGGGTTCTTACCTGCCTTAAGGCGATCAATCTCCCCATAGAGGTCTTTGATTAAAGTTGATTTCATCATCTTTTGATTTACCTGAATTTTGGAAGCAAGAAACAATGAAGGGAAAAAAACCAATAGCGAACAAATATAAAGACGGATAACAAAGGAGCATATATTTGTATATGATGTTCCAAAATTTATCATATAAACTTTGTCATGTTATGAGTAAATAAAATAAGGCCATACATTAAACTAATGGTTTTAATTTAAATCTGACTATTAGAGGCATGCAAATATTAAGAGTATAGCTTTCAATCAGACTTTAAAGACATAACTTACCTTTTAACGATATTGAAACAGCTTATTTGTTTCTTCCACCTAATTCTACTATGTAACCAGAGAAACTGGTTGCAAAATTAACAATAGGAGATTTGGTTCTATTTTGTAAACCAGAGAAACTGTTGCCAAGTAGTAGATTTACAGTATGATGCAGTCACATACAATACAAGTGAAAAAAAATAAAGGCAGCAAGCATAAACAACTCTTTAGGTGGGTGAAAACCATGCTTTTGCAGTGCTGCTGTGCTGGTGGATATTATGGAGAAGCATGAAAACAAAAGGTCAAAAAGAAGTTCCCAGGATATACATACTACAAAAGTTTATGTTGTATGACTGGGTAATCCATAGAAGGGAGCCATTGTAAGGGCCATAATACCCATGATATTTTATAATGCTGTACCAAGATTGTAAAATCTCACCCTTTGGAAGATTTATTATCCTGTAAAAATAAATCAGAAAGTTGGAGCATGTATATATTTCTGAGGATCTCCAAAAGTTTCTGAACGTTAAGTCAAATAATCATCCAGTATATTATCAGAATTATAGCAGTAAAAAGTTTTAGAAAGACTTGCAAATTACTGTACTAGACCTCACTGCATAATATTTTCAGTTTTTCTTTGGATTAAAATGCATAATGCCACCTTAGAGTTAGTAACAAAACCTTTAAGCAGATTTTCACCTTCGGGACAAAATAATAAGAGAGCAAAGACAACAACCTTGAAATGATTTGTGTTTGCAACTCCTCAAAATGGGGAGTCCGCTTTTTATCAGAACCGACCGCATGCGAGCGGGCAGTTCTGACCTTTCGTTGCAAATAGTTGGGGGACAAATTTGGAATATGCCCCAAATGAGTGATCAGAACCGACCGCTCGCATGTGGTCAGCTCTAAATGATTTGTAGTCCAAAATGGGGTCGTGTTCAAGCCTGGCCTCATTTAGGACAAAAGTTTGTTTGGATAAATTAGGCCAAGTGTAGCCCGTTTTTCTAAAGCCAAATATGGCCATTAAACTGGTTTGTTTTGGACCACCTCCCCAACGTCCAAAACAGAACCAGTTGTCTAAAACAAGGCCAAGGCTAGTCCTGGCCCAATTCTAGTGGCCAAACACACGAACATTATAAACAAACAACAAAAAGTAAAGCTGAGTTGCAACTTTTAGCTGGCATGAAATCCGCAAAAAATACAAAAATGGATAAAATTAAAATACCTCAGGGCGATTCTTTATATTTTTTGCTCTGTGAGCATAATCTAGTGTGCTAAGGGTCTCTTCTAAACAATGCACAGATGGTGAAACAGTAGCTATTATGCATGTTTTGGTCCTTCCTCCTAGCGAATCGCGAAGTAATCGAGTAAGCTTGCTGTCCCTGAATGTGCAAATTTTTGAGAGTTGTAAGCTGAATTTGGCAATAGCACAAACCATGATATAAGCTTGAGTTTCAGGTCAGGTGAGGAACCTGTAGGGAATGTGCCCAAGGTGCTCCACAAGAGCAGTGATTACGCGGCCCAACGTAAGTAGACTTTTGTTTATTTCTCCAGCTTCTCTTGCACGTCCCTTAAAAGAATAGTGATTAAAACAAAAACAAAAATGTCAAGCAAGGCCAGTGTAAAATAAATAACAGGGAGTCTATATATCGACAGATGCATTTGCCAAATAGTACAATCAAATAGTACTGCTGACCGTAAAAATTATTGGAAGAAATAAATGTGTAGTATACCTCCCTGGCACCTGATCGAGAAATATTTTCTGATCCAGCAAGATCAACAAGATTTAGCTTCCCGCATTTAATAAGTTCTTCCCCTTCAGGAGTTGCCTCTTTGATGTGAATAGTAATGGAAAAAAGAGAATGTGATCGACTGAAGCAAACAATAAATAATCAAAACCAAAAGCAAGTAATAACTGTAGTTGGGTAATAAAGAGCATTAGAAAACAGATATGTATTACCTTGATTGTTTGTTTAATAAAGTCTCTGCTGTACGCCTCTTGGCAGATCCCCTCTCCAGAAGAGAGAAGATCTCGCTGGCACTTGTTACAATTTCCTCCTCAAGCCCCCGTACTAGAACGCCCCCTTTTCCATCCTCCATAAGTGGTAATGGTTTTTTCTGCTTCTCCTCCAAAGCAGCTTTAGAAAACTCTTCTGGAGCAAGCAAATCAGTGATTTCTTCATTATAAAGTTCTAAGAAGGTAACTTTAACACTATATTCAGCATTTTGACTTTCTAGTGTGTCAAATATCTGCTTAACAGCTCTTGGTATGACGCCTGCATCTGAAGGTAATTGACCATTTGGTCCACTCTGCAGGTATAGTTGAAGCAAAAATATGAATATGCAGGAGACTTCAGTTGAAGGAGATTAAAGTACAGAGTAAACAAAAAAGGCAATCACACTTTGTGAGAGAACTAGAACAACTTGCCTTAGATCTTCTACATTCACCTTCCATGGTATATGTCTTTCCTGTACCAGTTTGCCCATAAGCAAAAATTGTACAGTTAAAACCCTCCAATACCTCATTAACAATTGGAATTACTGCTTGATCATACAAATCCATCTGCTTTGCTGAAGGACCAAATACCTGGGAACAATGAATTCAACAGAGACATAAGCTGACAACTGTATGCACCATGAGCATCTACAACATAGAAAATAGCACAGTTAATGCATGGTGGGACAATTCGACTGCCAATCACATGTCTTCAGGTATAGTAATTTACAACATTGCATATATGTTTCATCTCTCATGTTTTTCTTGGCATTCAAAAGTGGTGTTCTGCACAATTCCAGTGCACATTTCCCACTTTAATTGTTGCTACTGTGAAACTATTTGGCAAAAGTTAGGAGTTCAAACTATAGTTCTCTAAATTAACCTTCTTCAAGTGTATGTTTTACGTTATCAGTAGTTTGACATGTGTAAATAAGACTAATTAGAGCAAATTTTCCGATTTCTTTATCTCCCCTTAACTTTTACACCAAACTATCTCTCGGAAAAGCAATTTAGCTTAATTCATGAACAGCACTGATACTGATTCATAATATAGTGCCCAGTTGTGTGTGTGTGTGTGTGTGTGTGTGTGTGTGTGTTTTGTGATGGCAACGTCTCCAGCCAAAGAAATTTATCTAAATATGACAACTTAAACAATATGACAGGACAATATAAACACGAAAAGGATAACATCATCAAAATGAACCCAAAGGACCAGGCTTCAACAGTAATGACACTTCATCTAGATTAAAGCCTTATCAATAAGCTTTTTACAAAACAAAGATTATATCTTACAATAACTAAATACCTCAAAACCTAGTGCACAAAATACCCATGTTTTCAATATTTTTATAAATCATTCATTATTCCCATCTTAAGCTTGCTAATTTCTCGGCAGCTTACTATGAAATGCGTCAAATTACTTTAAAGGGTGGAAATTGCAAGAAACCCCAAATTACAACTTCACAACCTTTTCAATCATATCAAACCCTAAAACCCTAGATTTGTAAAAAATAAAATAAAATAAAATACCTTATCAAAGGTAAAAACCCTATCAATCTGCTTCCCTGCGATCGTCTGAGAGACCGCCACCTCCCTCTGGAACTCATTGCAAGTCACCACTTGCGGCGCATTATTCCTCAGCTCCTCGTCGCTGAACGGCCTAAAATTCCGAACAAAAATCGAAAATTACTCCAACTCCTATCATAATAGAAGCCCCAACCCTATAAGCTTCCCCGATCTGAACAAAGGCTAGGGTTTCTCTGTTACCTGCATCGGAGGAGAACCTGGACATTGACGGCCTTCTCTTTTTCATGGCGAGAAGACATAGCGATAGAAATTTACAGAGAGTGTGTTGGTAAGAAGTCCAAGCTTTTTTAATGGCGGGTCGTGATTAGATTTAATTAGAGACAACAGATGGAGTTTCTCTCTCTAAATTTTCTTTCTTTTCTCCCCCTTCTCTCTCTTTTTGGGGTTTGGTTTGAAACGGGAGCGGGATGGGAGAGGCCTTTTGAAATTTGGGGGAGTTAGTTCTGACCGTGAGATTTCCAGTTTGGGAAACGAACGGGTGAGATGAGAGTTAGGGATTATAAGTTGTTGGACGAGTTTACCCTTGGAGTGGGGATGCGTGTGCTATTGTTTTGGGCCGCAGGATGAAATCTGGGCGGTGGTGGGGATCTTACATACGGATCCTTAACATTTTGAAAATTACATATTTTTATTTTTTTGCCTTTAATACATCTCTACCTTCAATATATGTCTACTAGTGTGCACCCGTCGCTTTGCGGGTGCAAAGCGTAGTCTCTTTTTTTTTTGCTACAGCAATTCTTTTTTTTTTGAAAAGATACAATTTTTTTTTAAATGTTATATTTTCCTGTTTGTTCCACAGTAATACTACTACAGTAATTCACTACGGTATTTTCCTGTGATATGAATAGTGAATCTTTGGATCCTCCTATAAGTTTTTTTTTTCAACTTTAGCTACTATCCTTAATGCCTTTCAAGTTAAAGTGATTTTTTCCCCTTGTTAATTTAGTTAAGCCGACTTAACGTACATTAGTATAATATACTTCTATCCATCAACCATCCTTCATACCTTTCAAGCTATGCAAAAATGATTTTTTCATTGATAATTTAGTTAAGTGACTAAATGTATCTTAGTGTGATATACTTCTATCCATCAACCATTTTTAACTCGCTCTTTCTAGAAAGGACATGTTTTGACAAAGTTCGTTATGTATTTTTGGCATATTATTTTATGTCAGGTGGCAAAATGAGTTGGTTAGTAATTCTAATGACCATTTGATTATATTGTTATATTTTATTTTCCTTTGCGAGTCAAGTTAATCCAATATTACATTGTCTACATTTATTACTATTATTACTTAGAGATAATTGCCGGATTAGTATTGTAGTGACAAGTTGGACAAATTTAATTGTGTTAAAATAGATTGAAATCGACGTTATGGGTGATCAAGAGACAACTCAAAAACAAAAAACAAAAAAAATAACATCCGGTTGAAGCTTTTATGTTAAATCAAAATCTAAAAATGTAGTTATTTTCTCATCAACGGTGTAGATAGTTTTGTTTTGAGGGATAAATTACCTCCCCGTTAAAACTGAAGGTGAATTCACGATAATTACCAAATCCCACTGGCTGGTATTCACGTGTTTGCGGAGAGGCTGGACGCACTTCACCTCTAAGAGCATCTCCAACCCAAAAATCCAAAATGGTGTAGTTTTTACACCAAGTTGGTGTAGTTTTTACACCAAATCACTATTCCATCTCCAATCATTACACCAAATTTTACACCAAAAAGGATATTCATTTTATTTACAAACTATAAAATGGGATATAGTTGGAATATTTGATTTGTTATAACAAACTATAAGGGCAAACTTGGGAAAAACTAAAATCTCCATATCTACAGTGCTGCGTCAAATCTGGCGCAACACTGTAGCACCTCATCAAAATGACGCTGAATTTGCAGTCCGGTTGGAGGAAAATTTGGCACAGTTTTTGCTCCATTTTGGATTTTTAGAGTTGGGTTGGAGATGCTCTAAGGGGCTGTTTGGTTCAATAGAGGGTAGGAATAGGATTAGGAATCCTATTTTATTTATGGATTCCAATCTAATCCATAAAAAATTTATAGACAAGTTTTAGATTTATGGAATCCCATTTTTTTTGTATTCTATGTTTGTTTCACCCAAAGGATTAGGAATCTCACTTTTATAGAAATGGTCCAATTCCTAAAATCATGTTTGGTTCAAAAAGACCCGTTTTTTTGGGAATCAATACTGTAGCAACGGCTAGCCCCCTGTACATTTTAAAAAACACTGTAGCAACGGATTGAAGCCCCCAGAATTTAGATTTCAAGCTGAAATCACTGTAGCAACAGCTATTTTCAGATTCAAAATTCAGATTTTAAAATTTTTAGACAACACGCTGTAGCAACGGCTAGTAGAGGGCCATGGTGGCTATAAATTCACCTTGAGACCTCAAAATTAATCCAAGCATTCTCATTTTCATCATTTATAAAATTCCCATTGTCTTCAATTTGCTGCCCCGACATGAAAATGACATCAGAAGAGTGCTGGCAGAATTATGAAGTTTATTGCGACTGCCATCTCCGAACACCGATGAAAGTGTGCAAAAATGGTAAAAATAAGGGTAGGTGTTATTGGGGGTGTGCAAAATTCCCAAATAAAGAATGCAATTTTTTCGAATGGGCTGAAGAAAGAGGAGAGTCATCAAGCAACCAAGGAAGCTAATATGTCAAAGAAAATAGGTACGGAGATAAATATATTTTGCAATCAAAGAAGCTGAAGAAAGAATTGAGACTTGTCGAAAATCAACTACTAGTTTGGAAAATTTCTGCAATTTTCTTAGCAATTTTTTGTGTTATTTTAATTATTACAAACTTCATGTCATGTACCTGTACTTGCAAAAACTACTGAGGGTGTAATGAAAACTGTTGTTTGAACTGGGTACAAATTCTAATTGATATCGTATGGCTCAGTAATAGATCAACTTGTCATCATTGATTGCCCCACCTATAACTTACATGTTTATTACAGATTGTATTATAAGGATGAATTGCCTCGCCTAGACATTATCAAGTCAATGTAGCCTGCAATCTCATCCCCTTTTGCCTCATCTGGATATAATAAACGATGTAAGTTAGATTGCATTCTCAGTAAACGCTGATCATCATCATTGCCACATATCAAGTGCAAGGAAAACCACAGGCAAGGCAAACCAAAACAGCAAGTAACCCACAGGCAAGGAAAACCAAAACAGCAACACAAAATGCAACCACGAGCTACACAAGCTCTTAACAAAAGAGCACCAAACCCCAGCAGCAGCAGCAGCATGAGCTACACACAAGCTCAAAATAGGCACAAAGCAAAAAACAGGCACAAACCCACCAGCAGCAGCAGCATGAGCTGCACACAAGCTCAAAAGAGGCACAAAAGCAACAAACCCCAGCAGCAGCAGGAGCTGCACAATTTGTTAAATAACAGGCACAAACCCAACAAAGCTCAAAACAGTCAAGCAACAAACCCCAGCAGCAGCATGAGCTACACAAGCTCAAAACAGTTCAGCAACAAACCCCAGCAGCAGCAGGAGCTGCACAATTTGTTAAATAACAGGTACAAACCCAACAAAGCTCAAAACAGTCAAGCAACAAACCCCAGCAGCAGCATGAGCTACACAAGCTCAAAACAGTTCAGCAACAAACCCCAGCAGCAGCAGGAGCTGCACAATTTGTTAAATAACAGGCACAAACCCAACAAAGCTCAAAACAGTCAAGCAACAAACCCCAGCAGCAGCATGAAGGGCACAAGCTCAAAACAGTTCAGCAACAAATCCCAGCAGCAGCAGGAGCTGCACAATTTGTTAAATAACAGGCACAAACCCAACAAAGCTCAAAACAGTTCTGCAACAAACCCCAGCAGGATCAGGAGCTGCACAAGCTCCAAATAATAGGCACAAACCTAACAAAGATTGGAGCTACACAAGCTCAAAACAAAGCAAGGAGTAGGACAAGCTAAAAAAACAGTTTGCAAACCCCAGCAGCAGCAGGAGCTGCACAAGCTCCCAATAACAGCCACAAACCTAAGAAAGCAAGGAGCTACACAAGCTCAAAACAAAGCAAGGAGCTACACAAGCTCAAAAGAAAACAGTTGAGATGTTCTTCATAATAAAAATATATATTGCAACATTAATAGTTTGCAATTAACACAACAATATCCATCAAAATATAATCGAAACCCAACAAACTAGCTATCCGGCCAACCTTGGTCGTTAACTAATTTTGTGATGTACCTCTGCTGACCTTCCTTGGATTTTATGAAAAACCTCCTAGCTTCACGTTCATTGTCATATAAATGGTCTAAAACCCTATCGAGGAACTCCTCGGAATATTCAGACCTATGTTCCTTCAACGCTGCAGCCAACTGCTCAGTCCAGTGTATAACGTGTTGATTTCTCATTGACTGAGACATGGACTCAACAAAGGCACATAGCATTTCCTCTTCACGATTAGATTTTCTGGTTTTTTTGTTAGATGATGAAGTCGTGTTGTCTTTACTCTTAGTCTTATATCTAGTGGGTTGTGGTTGGTTAACAGCACCAGAACGTGGTTGGTTGCAAGCATCAGACTGTGGTTCAGCTTCACTCTCCTCTAGAATCTCGCAATCATCATCGGGAATAGGTATGGACCTACTAGACCCAATGTTAGCGTACACGGGCCCAACAAAATCACCATTGGCTTGATCATCACCCATGATAACTTGTAAATTTTTGAAGTGAGGAAGGGGTTTGTTTATGTACACTTTGTACTTAGAATTGGATTTGTCCTGCAATAACAAATACTTATAAGCAGTGAATCAAATGTATTAAATTGAAGGTGACAACATAGATGCTGAATTTGTTATACCTGGGCCCAAGATTTCAAAGTTTCCTCACCCAATGTAATCATTTTACTTGTTTTATCCCACCCAACACCACTTATATTAAGGCAAGCCTTCATGTCATTGAATTTATTCCTCAAACATTTCAAGTGGTTAATGACATGAAGGTGAGTGAAATCAATCCTGAATTGCATGTTGATTTTCATGGCAGCCATTTTATATGCTTCAGCCTTGAAGTTCTTGTCTGGCTTCATGCCATCCAATGCTAAATCTGCAAGATAAGGAATAAGCACATCATCGTGCTCTGGAATCCAAAACTTATTAGCCACGCCTCTTGAGTTCAACCTGGCACAAGGAACTTTTTTTATGGGCTAATCTTTTCCCTCTTTTCAATGGCGAAGTGTGCTCCGCACCATCAACGTCATGAATATCCTTTCCACCTGAATCACCAGTGTTTGGTGAAAATTGATTAGGTCCACTACTTTGAGAACTGGCTGTGGGAAACAGCAAACCTTGTGGACTGCCTAACAAGCTCATGTATGACATTGGCGGCGGTGTCATCCCACCATAATTATCATCGTATGGTGGGAATGGTGAGAATGTATGCGGAGGTAAAGTGAATGACTGTGGTCGAACAGGCATGTAGTTCATGTTAATCCCTGATGTAGGATTTGGCATTGCATTCGAATGAGAAGGCACGCTTTATTTATCTGCCGGATTGTTAGCCATACCTAACATATTTTGTAAGCATAGCCATATTAACAATAAAAAAATATAAAACAATATGGGATATGTATGCATTTATCAAGGAATATACGAAACGACGATATTTCTCAAACAACATAACAAAAGAGCAACTGATAAAAGTAGTAATGGTTTGGTACAAGCAAAGACACAATAAACAATATCGATGTGAACAGTATTTTAAAATTCACCAAGTTATTACATAGCCATAGGACAAATACCATACTAAGTTAAACCGCTCTCCATTGTGTTACCACCATTGTACTTTGCACAATAATCTACCCACATCGCCCAAGCAATTTGATCTCGCAACTCCTTCCATTCATTTCTAACATCTCGATCCTCTCTTTGTGACCTACTTTGAGTATAGTCCACCACATTTGAATCGTCTTCATTTGTCTCTTCCCCCGCATCTTCATCAATTTCAACATTTTCATTTAAAATATCATCACCCGGATCCTCCAAGGCAATAAAGTTGTGCAACACAGTACACGCTAGTACAATGTCCACTTGAGTGGGAAATGGATAATTCGGCTTCGCCGCAAGAATTTTAAACCGATTCTTCAGTATCCCAAATGTGCATTCAATTTTTGATCTTAAAGATGAATGCCTTAAATTGAACAACTTCTTCCTATTCTTTGGTATCCTACCGGTATGCTCTTTTAAATGATATCGAACACCGCGATACGGGGATATGAAACCTGGCATTGTGGTGTACCTAGCGTCACATAGGTAATATTTACCTACATTAATTAAACATTATTTTAAAATCTCAAATATTGCCAAGTATTTAATATATCATTCATAATGTGCACAAGTGAGAATGAATACCATCATAAACTCGGAGCCCGTAAGGCTGTGGTCTGGACAGGGCGTCTTGTAATACCCTATAATCATTTGCTGCCCCCTCCCAGCCAACCAAGACATAAGTAAATAGTTTATTGGGGGTGCAGGCTGCTAAGATGTTTTGGGTGACCCCTTTTCGCCCTCTAAACTGTGCAACTAGGTCACTAGGTAACACCGCGTCGACGTGTGTGCCATCTATCAAACCAATACAGTCCTATAAAAAATTATAAATTATACATAGTTAAATAAAAATAAGTTTATTTGAAAAATTGTTAAGTTGTATGTATTTAATTTACCTTAAAGTAAGGAAAATAATTTGAGTTGTTTGCAATCTCCTCGGGAACTTCTTTTGGGGCTTGCTTCGTGTACCGATCACGTAATCAATTCATTGCTTGCAAGACTTTATTGAAATACCTGCTAACTGTTTCCCCTGATCTTATGAACTCAGTTCTTATTATTCTATTTTTAGTTTTATGCCCAACAATACTTAGGAACATAGCAAGTTGTTCTTCAACTTGAACGTGTCTTGTATCTTTTAATAAACCGTTTGCTTTTATTACTTCAACAAGTTTAAAAAAGGCCCTAGGTCTCATTCTAATATAAGATTGGCAACTATCTTGATAGCCCTCCAGTACACGTCTGAAGTGAGCCTCTCTACAATATATTTTTCTGATCTTTTCTTGCTTCGTACAATTTGATATTCTCTTGCGCTTAGCACGCATTCTCAAAATACATGTTACCAAAGTGACCACGGCGCAGACAGCTGTATTAGCACACATCCTCTTCAATTCTTCCTCATCTTCCATATCCATCTACATCCGGTTGAAAATTATCATACAGTTACAGCTTAAGATGGCTACTTATTTCTTGTCAAAAATAAGTAGATAATTGATACAAATATTTATTTCTTCAAAAGCAATAAATTTAATTGAGTCTAAAATTATTTTAACTAATGTTGCATTCCATCTCTCACAATTATCAAGAAGCAAGATAAACACAAAACAAACAAACTATATGGTTAGATTACTAATAATTTACACACACAAAAAGAAAAGAAAAGAAAAGAAAAAAACAGCAATTTCAGTTATTAAAAGACTGATTTGAAACATATAAAATTAATCTCTTAAATCATTGAAATTGCGATCAGCCTCTATTTCTTGGTTGTTTCAAAATTAAAATTAATTCCTCAAATCACTGGAATTACTACTAGGGCCACCTTTCTATAGGTTCTTGCAAATTAATCCTTCTAGTCTTGAAAAAATAACAAGATACGAGGGATCAACTAACAATGTTAATTATTTGAAGGTCTGATTTTAAGATATGTATGACACCGATACAGAAAATAACCCTCCCAAAAAAAATAAGACTTACAATTACCGACACTAACAAGCCACTTATCCCATTCATCACATCAAGCATGAAGAAATAAGTCTAAAAAAGAGGGCAAAATTTTATACCTAGCTGCAGAGGGCGAAAAATGCCGACGTCCAAGCAAAAAACCCACCGAAGTCAAAGAAAACACCGTAGCCAACAATCCCACTTGAACCAGAACAAGTTCGAGAATGGATCACCAAGAATCAAAGGTAAGAAACCCACCAACAAGCTCGTGGAAAACAAATCTAGGGTTTCGAGTAACAGCCCCGACCCCAAGTAGAAGAAGACGCAGCGCGGGAGAAGAGGCGCGAAGAAGAGAGCGATGAGGCGGGAGCAGAACAGCGATTCCAGATCTAGGGATCGAATTCGTGAGGATTAGGAATCGGAATCGACATTGAAGCTCGCTGTCAGAAATCTCGCCCAAATCCGCTGCTCAAGCTCCGATTTGTGTTTCTATAAAAAACCTATACCGTTGCTACTTTATGGAAATTGTAATCCCAAAATTTTTTCTGAGCCAAACTCCAGAATAGGATTCACAAAGAATTCAAAAATTATATTTTTGCCACTGTCAGACCCCAAATACTAATCCTTTTCTATAAATTGGTAAACCAAACAGACCCTAAGTTCCTGCTGTCTCACTTTTTTTTTAAAAAAAAATTCGGTGTCGATTAGCGCCAAAAAAAAAGAAACCATAAAAGGAAAAAAAAAGAAAATAAAAAAGTCGAATATTCGTCTTCATCGGAACAATAATGCAACCCAATCATCCAACAAAACCCTCCCGCTCTACCATCACCTAGCACAACAAAACCGTCCCAAACAAAAAGGGAGCCCGAAACGCCACCGGTCGTACCGGCATATCGGCACGCTGAATACAGCTGGTACAAAGCCTCCCCATCGCCACCGCCATTAACCGTCCTCGCCCTCCACCCTCAGCACCCCCTCACGTTACCAAATCTCCAAAGCTGCCTCACAACTCCGAAATTCCGCACCCGGTCCTCAGGCCACCCTCACCCCCGACCTCCCTCCTCCGCTCCCCCTCCCACTCTCAATCCTCACCAACCCCTCGTCCCGCCCCCTACGTGGCCCGCCTCCACTCCGTCCCTCGAGGCGCGAGCTCAACCTCACGCCCTGGGGGCGACCCGCCTCCCCACTTCTCCGCGACCGCTCTACGGAGGCCACCGAAGCGGGCAGCCCGCGTTTTGTTCTGGCCGCTGAGGTTCACACGCGCGTTTGCCGCACCGGACGCGGGCGTGGCGCGTCTTGAGGGAGCTGATGGAGACGGTCGGAGAGCGAACGCGAGGGGATTTCGGAGGAAGGGGAGGTTAGTTTGGGGATTGGGAGTTTATTAGGGAGTGAGGACGGTTGGAAGCCATTTTGGGCCAGAGGGAAGGATTTGGTGGGCTACTCCATCAATGGGCTGCGGTCGGCGGGGTTAGGGTTTGAGACGGTGGGAACGGAGAGGTCGTCGGAGGTTGTGAGGCTGGTGGTGGAGGCGGCGGAGACTCGGAGGATTCTTGATGTGAGTACTTTATTTTTATTTTTATTTTTATTTTTTGGGAAATTGATGGTAGCCATACAAAAAGGGGCTAGACTTGCAAATCTTGAATAGTGTGGATTAATGTGGTTAATTAGACTTGTTTAGTTGTTGTGTAGATGCATAAAATCATTCTTAAGGTGTTTTTTTTATCTTATATGTAGATTTACCCCGACCATCTGAATATTTGCTAATTTACTGTTTGACATTGGGCTAAAATATCTTTTTTATTTTACCCGCAAAATATGCATATTTGCTAATATCCCAAGAACTCTCCTTTAACATAACTTTTGGGGTATTCTACTCCAATGTGATAGAATTGGAGGGTAAATTGGTAGATTTGAGGGTAAATTTGCACATAAGGTTGATTTGGGTGTATACGCAAAAAAAAAAAAAATTGTTTTGTTTTGTTCTGGAAAAAAAGGTCTTACTTCTTAAATGAGGATTTGATGCTAACCACACAAAAAAGACCACGTTATCTTAGAAACCCTTCATTATTGAACTCAAGTTCTTGCTCAGTACGGATACACAAAATGTGCAGGTGAGATGATGGCGATAATTGAGCTATTTTATATTCAATACGGATGCAGATAGTACAGATCCAAATTTAAAATTGAAATTTGGTAGATATATATGGAAAATGATAGAGGCACACCCCCAACCACAACTCCAACCACCCCCTCTCATTTGCTACAGTACACTGGGCCCCACATGAGATTTTACATTTAAAATCTCATGTGGGGCCCGGTGCACTGTAGCAAATGAGAGGGGGGGGGGGGGGTTGGAGTTGAAGGGGGGGGGGGGGGTGTGGTTGGAGTTGTGATTGGGGGTGTGCTCCTAGTGCCACCTGATATATATGTGCACCTATATGATTGTAGGGAACGAACCTTTGTGATCGAGTCCCACTAGAGGCACACCATGAACCACACTCTCTATAGTGCTAGTGGGCCATGCATGATATTTTTTTAAAAATATCATGCATGGTCCACTAACACTATAGAGAGTGTGGGGGTGTGGTTGAGAGTGTGGTTCATGGTGTGACTCTAGCATTATTTTTTGTGATCAAACGGAGAGGTGTACGTCGGACTTGCTATGCATGATTGAATGAGACCAGTTCCATATTTTCATGATGATGAGATCCAAAAACTGCCTGATTTTATAAATGAGTCCATAATTTTGTTCAAACAGGCTTTATGTCCAAATTTACGACCGATGCTTGTCCAGGTTTTAGAGATTTTTGAGCAGTCCTAATTTCAACCAATTATCATATGCATAGCAAATCCATCTGTGGGACTATCATCGACTTAATTAGTTAGCATAGCCTTTCCCATGAATCTTCATGTTGAATAATTTTCATCTTAACAGCGTAAAGTTCAGAACGGCGACTAGAAAAATATGATAACCAAACATGTCACTGTCTAGAACATGATAGTTTATGAGGAAAGAACACTCCTGTCCTGGATAACTGAAATGTTCTATTTCTGCTCAATTGGTGTACATATTAATATAACCCGTGCATATATGATATATATTCTACAGTCTACACTATGTAACAATCAATTTTAATACAAAACTTAGCTCAGATGTCCAACTGGATAATGTTCTCTCCCCTGTGTATGAGCGTATAAGAGGAACCAACACACAATAACAATAGTACAAGGCCTTTTGTGTAATTTTTAAACTCTTATTCCCAATCTTTGTTCAATATTGAAAAGTTCTTGAGAAACTGGATATTGTCTTGTGTAGATGATCTAAACAGAAAGATTGAACAGTTATGTCATTGTTTTCGGTCATTTATCCCATAAAGAGCTGTAAATTTCAGGCATGCAAGGCAAAGGGCGTCAAGCTTTGTGGGGCATTAATAGCTGCAGGACTAATTGCTACCTATTCATCCAAGCATCTAGAAAACAACCGGTCTGAGACTTACTCTGTGGTGACTCTCATCGACTGTCGGACGATTCTGGAACCAGCTCTAAGTGACCGTGATTTCGGTAAGTTTTACACCTCTACGCTAGTATATTGGCAGCAAAACAACATCATTTACTGGAAAATATAAATTTTTAGGAGTTTCAACAATAGAAAAAAGGTAAATTACAGAAATCACCTAAGATTTGTAGGATATGCAGGAATACTTCCCAAGGTTTTGAAGCTGACCCTCCATTTCAGTTTCTACAAAGTTAGGTTAGATGCATAACATGTGGTAATAGGACATGGCAATTATCACCACTATACAGACGTGCGTATAATACTGTAAGATTAGTTGGACATATAGACTGTGCATTATAGACCACCGGTAGTTTCGCTATTTTGAACTTACCACGCCTGTAGTTTCGCTATTTTGAACTTACCTCTTTTTACTCGCATACAGACTAACTCATTTCACCCATGAGCTACATCTTCCAAAATTTTCACCTAGAGTGAAATGGTTTTTTTAAAAAAAGGAGGCCATAGGGATGGTAAGTTCAAAACTAACATACTACAGGAGGTCTATGTGCAATTAATGCATTATTATGTTAAAAAAAATGTCAATAATTGTGTTTTCTGATAATCGAATGTCGATTAATTCTAAAACAAGTCAACATCTTGTATGTTGCAGGGTTTTACCATTCTGCTATCCTAAACACGCACAGTGTGAATGGAGAAGAAGGGTTATGGGACTTAGCCATAAGATGTCACAATGCCTACTCGAACGCTAAAAGCAACAAGAAACATCTAACCGATATCGGCGAGCTCAACTATTTAATGTGCAAGGCCATAGAAAACCCCCATCTCACACCCTCGTCCTCTTTGAGAACCGCGGTCATTTCTGTCTTCGAGGAACCTGTGATCCTTCAAACTTCTGACGTGCAGAAGAAGCTTGGGGTTGAGGACTATATCGGGTGTGCTTCAGTTCATGGGGTCGGCCCATCAATTGCTATATTTGATACTATTAGAGACGGTCAGCTTGATTGTGCATGTGTTTATCCTTCGCCTCTTCACTCGAGGAAGCAGATTAATGAGCTTGTCGAACACATGAAGCAGATTTTAATTGAAGGAAGTGTGAATGTGGAGGAGGAAAAAGAGCTGGAGTGAAGAGTTTTCATGATTTAGAGCGTGAATGTGTTTGTGCCTTGGTTGTTTAAGTTGAGGCGGAAATGTCAGAAAAGTGACATGAGGTTATCGTTGTGATGAAATTGTTGGGAATAATTGAGAATGTAATAAATTTGAAAATATCATAATCGTCATGCGGTTGCGAAAGAAATGCATATAGAATTATCATTTCTCTATATATAACTAAACAGACCAACATATGTTTTTGACACACTTGTCCTTTTTTTGACTTAATAATTACCTTCCTAGTGAGAACTTTTCTTTCGTCGATCTTTCTATATGATAAATTGTTTGTTGGGAAAATTGCAATGAAGAGAACAAAAGAAAATTGACTTGTATTCTTTTAATTCTGATTACAATTTGATTACAAAAGAGAGGAGAACGAAATTGGTTCTTCCTCTTTGTTTAAAACTGGGTTCTTCACGGTGGCGATGGAGTGTCTCCCTCAAATGTTCGCGTCAAGTTTGCTCTCCGTTGACGATCCGCACGTCTTGATTCACTGGAACGATGTCTTCTCCTCACGATTTGACGTTGTGGAGAACTTGTTTGGCAAGTTTTAAAACTCTGGATGAGTTGATAACTCTGCACGAGTTGGAAACTCTTGAAAAAGAGTTAAATTGAACCGAAAATCAGTTTTCAAGCCAAGGCCGAAGGCTCTCAGGACTGATCCCAAAAGATGAATGTCGATCTCTTCTGCTGCCAAGTCCTAGATCCGAAAAAATGTCAGCCTTCAGTGGTCGATTTGAGCCAAGAAATTCCAACCCTGAACTTAGTTGAGTTTACTCGCTTTTATAGGGGATTAAGGGGGTGTAACTGCCCTCTAAATTCGCTCCTAAGTGGGCGTGATTTCCTCAGATCGTGGGGAAAACGGTTCTGAAACCGTTCGACTCATATTTGAATGAGTCAAACGCCCAACCTGGCGTTCAGGACCCTAACCTCGCGTCTTAGGATTGAGACGCGAGGTTAGGTGTTGACTGAACATCCAGAACGCGAGGGTCACTCACGTTTTGCTTGTTGTAACGCGGGTCCGACTCTAGCGTTTTGATGTTGTAACGCGGGTTTGACCCTGGCGTTTTGATGTTGTAACGTGGATTCGACCCTCGCGTTTTGATGTTGTAACGCGGAATCGACTCCAGCGTTTTGATGTTGTAACGTGGGTTCGACCCTCACGTTTTGATGTTGTAATGCGGGATCGACTCTAGCGTTTTGATGTTGTAACGTGGGTTCGACCCTCGCGTTTTGATGTTGTAACGCGGGATCGACTCCAGCGTTTTGATGTTGTAACGTGGGTTCGACCCTCGGCGTTTTGATGTTGACACACGGAGAGGACCTCCGCGTCTTGTCTTGAAGAGATTATCACAAAGTAATCTCTTTTGTCATAGCGTTGCAAAGATCATTGTCTTGTAATCTTCGTCTTAGCTTCTTGAGAATATGAGAGTCGTCAGATTGTAACTCCCGATGTTGATTGTAAATGTTGTTGAACTAGAGCTCTCATCGGTTGTCGTTAAGGTCGTCAGATTATAACCTTCAGCGATCTACGTGAAAGTCTTCAAATTGTAGCCTTCTGGAAGTCGTCAGATTGTAACTTCCATCATCAGTGTTTGATGAAGGATAAGCTATCTATTATGATTTTTAGACAGCCTACATAAATGAATATAGTTTGGAAGTTAGTTTCTCTGGAAAAAAAAACCTAAGCAGGCGATGTTTTGCTCAAAGATTGTTGATAGAATCTTTTGTTATTTTATTCCCTTTTTCTTGTCAATTTACCTGCGTCTGCTCTTAAAACTTCTATATACACAAGCACCAAATTTTCCTGCTTTTTACTAGAAACAAGAGAAAGATCACCTAAAACCACCACAACACAATATGAATCAACACTTGAGAAAAGGTGAGGCTCTGATCCACGAGAGAGGCAGTGTTCCCTCGAACCAACTCACCAATGACTGAAGCATCTTCACAACTTGTCGATCATCACAAAGGCATCTGCATACAAGATCGACGTACTGCAGAGCCTCATCAGGGCGGAGGCCAGCCATCAGCAATGGGAAGAGCTGAGAATGTGCGGATTCAGTTGAACTAATCAGCTTCTCTGCCCATTCGAGCTGTGACCACGGCTGCCCTCCTTCTTGTCTTCTTGCCTTTTCTGCTGTTTCTAAGAGAGGTAATAGCTTTGTCTCCTCTTCTGCGAAGTGCTCCTTGCAGTGATCCTGTTAGCTTTTTTGTTAGTTTTCCAATAAATTTCTAGGAATACAACTTTTTCTAAGGATTAATTGCACATAGATCCACTATACTATCACTCTTAGTTCCACTCGCAGATAGACAGATGCCTTCAGTTAAATTTTTTGACTCTTTTACCCTCCCTCAGATGGACTCACTAATTTTACCCAAGGGCGATATCCGTCGAAATTTCGCCAAGGATAATAGAGTCAAATTAATTTAACCTAGGGGGTCTAATCCGCAACAATGAAATTACAGGGGTGGTAAGTTCAAAACAATGATATATTACAGAGGACTAACCCTTTTTCATTGAGGGGAAAAAACATAAGATCATGGTCTTGTCAATTTTACACGTTTAAGATATGATTGCATATAGTGAGCAAGAAATGAAAAAAACTTGGCCAAAGTTTGGTAAAGAATTATAAAAGATTTCATAGGATGATTTATCAGATTACACTCTAGAAAGAAAATGAATCCACAAATCCTTAATTTATATCTTGCTTAGTTATGATTTATTCCAAACTTGAATATTACTATGCTCCCATAATATTGCACTAGGTTTTCACTCAATGAACATCATATTCATTTACTAAAACAACAGACACCTTTTATTGAAGAAATATATTATTTAGCGATCCCAGCACTCAAAGAATAATAATCTCACTTTTTATGGGTAATAATTGGCAGTTATGGTCCCATCAAAAGTAGCTATAATAATAAAAGTGGGGGAAAATTTAATTTGCTCCCACCAAAAGTAACAATATAGCATCCTAGTTTCTCTGGCTTGAAGCAAAGTCCTCTATCTTTTTTCAGTTCCAGTTCAGCCTTAATCAACAAGTAATTGTACCCAGAAATCAATTTTTTAAAAAAAAGAGGAGAACTCGAACCAAACATAAAGAAACAGAGTTACTTGAAGTTTTTTGAGCCGACGAGAGATGCTTAACAAAGTTTCCTTGTATGAAGGAGACTCAGCTTCCATCACCCCCAACATTTTGATCTCTTCTTTAATCCCGTTCATCATTGGCAAATCTCTACCGTGCTCCTCCGTTGCATCTCTACAAACATCTAATTTACAATAAAACCCGTCATTAATAACATTATAATTACTAGTTAGAAACCTAATTAACAACAAGGGCGTTTGGTCTAGTGGTATGATTCTCGCTTCGGGTGCGAGAGGTCCCGAGTTCGATTCTCGGAACGCCCCTGGCAAACTTTTATTTTGCAAAATTTTTTTTTTCAAAAAATTCTATTGTTTGCAGTTATTTCAGTTTTTTTTTTCAGCTGAATTTTTTTTTAAAGTAGATTCAAAATCCAAATAACCTCGCTTCAAACTGAACTTCGTTTTACTAAAACCTAGATTTAAAAAATTATTTTTTTTCAAAAAAAACTATTTTTTGCAGTTATTTCAGATTATTTTTTTTCAGCTGATTTTTTTTAAGAAGTAGATTCAAAATCCAAACAACCTCGCTTCAAACTGAACTTCGTTTTACAAAAACCTAGATTAAAAACCGAAAAAAACAAAAAAAAATTAGCGAAAACTCACCAGAATCCGATGCTCGATCCAATATCGGAAACAAGAAAGTCTCCTCCATCTGAGCATGCTCAAGCATCAGCTCCCCACTCTCCCCGTACCAATCTCCATCCCCCTCCCTCTCCGCCAATTCCCCGTTTTCCCGCCACCAGATCCTTCACCCACCTCTCCATCCCCGCACGTGCCTCTCCAAGCTCCGTGCTGCAGCCTGATCACCGCCGCAGCCGGCTCCATCGTCGCCGATCTCTCACTCAACCGCCACGCCGCGAGCCTCCGTGCGAACTTCGAGTCGATGTAGTGGAGGATGGAGTCGGCGGTGTCCTTGACGGTTTCGTATCCAACGATGAGAACGGGGCGGTTGATGGCGGTCGGAGTTGGGATGAAGTCGAAGGGTAGGGATTTGTAGAGGAGGGAGACGCGGATTCGGGCGGCGATCGGGCAGGATTCGGATCCGTGGAGGCGGATCGGCGTCGTGGAGACGTTTTTGGGTTTCGGAGCGCAGTTTCCCATTTGTGGGCTTCTAGAGAGAGAGAGAGAGAGAGAGAGAGAGAGAGAGAGTTTTTGAAATTGAAAAAGGAGAGAGAGGAAAAGGAAAGAGCTGTGTTTTAGGGCGCGTACTCGGCGCAGGAGACACAGCCTTTGACTCGATGGCATTTTTTATTGGGCCAAATTCTGCCTGGGTTGGGCTTGGGCCCTTTTTTAGTTGGGAGCCGTATATTTCCTTTTATTAACCTTAAATAAAAGCTTTTTTAAAAAAATAAAAATCATCAGAAGAATTTACTAAGAGACGCATTGCCTTCAATTTAAAGTTAGCCGATGATAATTAGAATGTATTGGTTTCGTGCCAAGGAATCAGATATCATATACTATATAATAAAAAAATTTTAAAAAAATGGCATCAAACACGACACATCATTCTACAAGCGAGGCGACGTAGGCTTAGCTTTTCGCCCCTCCTAATAAGGATTGGGATCCTCTACTAAGTCATAGTGTCTCATAATATCTCCTAATGCATCTCAACCTTTCATTGCATAGTATCTCCTCGTATTTTGTGCTTATGCACAAAATAAAAGGTGGAGATGCATTAGAAGATATTAGGAGACACTATGCCTTAGTAGAGGATCTCAATCCCCTTATAACGGGATCCTTGTGAGTTGCTGACAGTTAAAAAAACGACTAATCAACACACGCGCAGCACACACATACACAATATATTATATATATATATATATATATAATATATATATATATATATATATATATATATATATATATTATATATATTATATATATATATATATATATATATATATATATATATTATATAATATATATATATATATATATATATCTTGCTAGATACGCAGAAAAAAAGGAGGGACTTAGACAATATTAGGTGCATTAAGAGTGAAGATCAAAGACTTCTAGCAACCGACGAGGAAATAAAAGAGAGGTGGATGAGTTACTTTTATAAATTGTTTAATAATAAACAAATGGGTAAGCTGCGTAGAGAAATTAACCATATAGTGGATGGTAGAAATAATAGATATTGTCGGCAAACTAAGATCAGTGTGGTCAAAGATGTTTTAAAAAAATGAAAAGTGGAAGAGTTGTAGGACTATACAATATCCCTATTGAAGTTTGGAAATATCTTGCAGATATAGGATTAAAATGATTGACCAAATTATTAAATAAGATTATTGAGACAAAGAGGATGCCCATGAGTGGAGGATTAGTATGTTGATGCGATATACTAGAATAAAGAAGGCATATAAAGTTATTCAAACTATCATGATATTAAACTTATGAGTCATACTATGAAACTTTAGGAGAAAGTAATTGAGTTAAAACTAATAAAAGAGACAAGTATATCTAAAAATTAATTTAGTTTTATGCCAATAGGTCAACTATAGAAGATATACATATATTGAGACAGTTGATAGAGAAAAAATAGAGAAAAAAAGGATATACATATGGTTTTCATTAATCTAGAAAAAGCTTATGACATAGTGTTTAAAGAGATAATATGGTAGAATTTAGAAAGGAAACATGTATTTAGTATATTGATATAACTAAAGATATGGATGATAGGGTAACAACTAAAGTAAGAAGTAATGAAGGAGTGACCAAGTCATTTACTATAACCATATGTTTACATCAATGATCCGCCTTAAGTTCTTATCTTTTTGCTTTAGTTATGGATTAGCTTACTAGACATATTCACGATGAAGTACCATGATGTATGTTATTTACTGATGATATAGCATTAATTGACGAGACTAGAACATGTATAATTTCTAAAGTAGAAAGGTGGATGCAAGCTCTTAAAATTAAATATTTTAGAATTGGTAGAACAAAACAGAATGCATGAAATACACTTTAATAAATCTGGAAGGAAAAAAGAGCCTATAATACATATTGATGGCCAAGAAATATCTAACAGCAATCAATTTTACTATTAGGATTGATCATTGGCATGATGGTGAAATTGATGATAATGTTGTTTAGTCGAATCAAATCGGGATGGTTAAAATAGAGGACTGCTTCAGGAGTCTTGTATGATCATAGAATACCTGTTAGACTTAAGGAAAAATTCTATAGGACTGTTATAAGACCAACAATTCTCTATGAATCAGAATGTTGGACAATTAAAAAATAACGTGTGTAAAAAATAATGAGTATAGCAGAAATAAGAATGTTAAGATAGTCTTGCGGGTATATGCTAAACGAGAGGATAAGAAATAAGTGCATCCATAGTAAATTAGAGATTACTCCTATTGAGGATAAAATGAGAGAGAATTGACTAAGGTGGTATGACGATATACAACATAGACATCTTAGTGCACCGATTAGAAGAAGTGATAATATTATAATTAACGGAGCAAAGATATCTAGAGGTAAACCTAGAAGAACTTGGTTGGACACAATTAAGAAGGATATAATTATGATTAGTTTAACAGAGGAGATGACCCATAAAAACAAAAAAAAATAAGATTCATGTAGCCGACACCAAACATTTATGATAGAGGCTTTTGTTGTTGTTGTTGTTGTATTAATAGAAGACACTTTCTAAACTGGTCTCAAAACCACTCAAATGTTTAAAGAACGTACTAAAACGCAAAATACTTTTAGTTTCAACTTAAATCCATGAAAACATGTTAGAATATAACATTACAATCCTCAACCCTCTACGCAACTCTCGAGTTTGTGAGTAGCTCTAGCATTACTAAAGAGGCGTCAACAACAATAATAACAGTCAATTGTATTAGCTGTTTTCAGATAAAGATAATTTCCCATGACACTGTAGGCTATCAAAAAAATCATAACAGATAGCTTATCACCATCAAACATCAACAAGGGGAGTTACAATTCAACGACTTCCAGAAGGCTATAATTTGAAAACTTTCATGTAGATCGATGAATGTTACAAATCGACGATCTTCACGACAACCAATGAAACCTCTAATCAATGATCTTCACAACCAATAATGAGAGTTGCAATCTGACGACTCTCACATTTCAAAGAGCTAAAGCGAAAATTGTAAAACAACGATCGTCGTGATAAAAGAGATTACAAGTCAATGATCTCTTCAATCTAAGACGCAGAACTCATCTCTGCATCCCAGAGGTGAAACACAAGCGATTGCGTTCTAGAGTCAAAGCAACGCAATTACTGCATTCTCAGCTATCAACGCAGCCCAAACACAGCACAAACGCAGTGTTTTCAGCCGCTAAACACAGTACCAACCCAGCTTCCAGGCGATGCATTCTCCATCGCGAACGCGACACAATCACAGACGCAGACGCAACATGATCGTAGCCATGGACGCAGCTCAAGCCCATGGACGCAGCTCAAGCCCACGGACACAGCTCAAGCCCACGGACGCAGCTCAAGCTTGGACGCTAACGCATCATCTAAACCATGCGTTCAAACGCAGGTTCATGCCCAGAACGCAAATCAAGGCGCTTGACTCGTTCAAACACGAGTTGAACGGTTCTGAAATCGTTTCCCACGATATGAGGGCGGTTACACCCCACTTAGGAGTGATTTAAGGGGCGGTTATACCCTCTTAATCCCTTATAAATAAGAGGAAACTCAACCGAGTTAGGGGTTGAAATTTTTTGGATCAGAAACGGCCTGAAGGGATCGACATTATTCCTCAGCGGAGATCATCTTCAACTTCGGCAACGAGGAGCTCGTTCTTGGCTATAACCGACTTTCGGTTCAAACCAACTCTTTTACAAGAGTTTAAACTCGCTCTGAGTTCCTAAACTCGTTAAGAGTTAATTTTCAAACTTACTTTGCAAGTTCTCCACAGCGTCAAATCGTGAGGAGAATATACCGTTCCAGTGAAGCGAGGTGTTCGGATCGTCAACGAGAAGCAAACTCGACGCGAGTTTCGAGGGAGACCTCTCATCGACACCAAGAAGAACCCAGGTTAAACAAAGTGTAAGATCTCTGTCGATTTTCTTCTCTTTTGTAATCAGAAATTCAAATTGTAATCAGTTAGGGATTGAGTGAATTGTAAACATTCTTTTTCTAAGCAGTTAGAAGGAATAAATCAAATTCAATTCTTTCATTTTCTTATTGCAATTTTTCTAACAAACAGACACCATAGCTGGAGAGTGCTCAACTAATAAAACGCTAAACAACAATGATGCAGAGGAATCTCCTCTCTCAAGCAAAGCCAGGGTCATCTCGTGCCGGTGGTTGGAAGCACGTCCCTTTTTTTTGTTCCTCAAAATTTAACCCCTTTTGTTCTAACAACTTCTGGGCCCGCACACCACAGTCCACTACATAAATAAACTCGTTTGGGACACATGCGAGGCACGTGACTGAAAAGGACCCACATCAACAACTTCTAACAAACTCCCATACACGCTTGAAGCGAAGAGAACTTGAATTGGGAATTGGGATCTCATTCATTTTTGGCAGGGGTATTTTTGGAACGGGGTTATTATTATTTTTATTTCACCCATGTGCCCTTCAAACTTTCCAATTAATTAACTGAGAATATTAGCAGGCGTGCGGGGATGATGAGGAAGCTATTTGCGTAATGAAAATAAAAAAATGAATAACTTATTCATTTATAGAGAGGCTGCAATTACAACTGTGCACCCAAAAACCAAGTTTTTTTTTTCCTTTTCTAAATTGTACTTAAATGTTCTAAAGTTTCACTAACATTGTACTGACAAACAACTCCTATCCTAAAATCAAGAAAAAAAGATACCTCAAAAGATGAATGCCCTATAGTTAAAAAAATAAACGACGTTAAATTTGCTCTAAGTATCCAAGAATATCACATAATAAAATGTACTAAAGTGAAACTTTAGAAACTTTAGGGTATTTAAATGAGGTTATTTACAAACAAATAATATTTATATGTAATACTGTGTGAACAGGAGGGTGCCAACGAGCAACATCGAGTAAAACAATAGAGCATCAAAATTTGGAGTATTTAATTACAATACTAAATACATTGGAGAATTTCTATATACAATTTTAAAATAGGCGACATTAAATTTAAGGTTGATGGAATTGTAGGGCATTTAAGTAAAAATTCCTCAAGGACTCAAAATATGGGACCAAAAGAGGGGACAAGTGAGGTGTCCCCCTTCTATTGGATAATGAGTTGACCATCATTAATGAGTTGACCATCATTAATGATGGTCAACTCATTATCCAATAGGAGGGGGACACCTCACTTGTCCCCTCTATTGGTCCCATATTTTGGGTCCCTGTAACAAAGCTCGCATTTAAGTGTAATTTAGCTTCTTCTTTTTTCCCCTTTCTTTCTTCTCCATGCATCTAATAATTAAATTCTTTGGCACATCAAAAATATTTTTTTTCTAAATTATTGCCATAAAACTATTCTGGATGTATGTAAAACATTTTCCTCTCTATGATGTATTAAAATGTTCCGATCAGATGATTAATGGATGTCAAGTTGGACTCACGGTTGCATGTAAATTTCTCGTATGTTTAAACCTTGTGGAATTTAGCCTGTGAAATACATCAAAACAACTTCATTTTCCAAATAAAATAAGACATAAACGTCAATTTTCATCTTTTGTAGAGAATTATAGTGAACTTTATATATTCCGTAAATTTACATATTTACTGTTTATTAGATTATTATAATAGACGGTGAAGTATCAACTAACCAGTACATATTTGGATGTGTGAACAATGAATTTCCATGGAACTTTCTTATGTTAAAAAATCAACATGTAGAAGATTATATTACTCTCTAAATTTCATAATAAAAAATATATGCATAAACTTCTCAATATATTGTTAGAGTAACACCGGTCAATATATTGGTTGTCCCCTTCATCATGATCTATCAAACACATCATGCTATTTATTTGTAAGCCATCCTCTTCGCCATCATCCTCAGATTCGACACTTGCATTATCATCCTCTATCATCACTCCTTTGGAAGGCATTATATCTTAATGGGGGAGCGCTACCATCGAAGACATTTGAAGTACCCACAAGCGAAGGACCGCTCAAGTATTGTGACTGTGTCCATCCTATATCTTGTTGGGAAGATAAAAAGCCGGCGGAGTCAACTTCAAGGTCCTCTAACATGCGAGAGTATACTTCATCGTGATTCACTGATTTGCCCAAATTTCTGTGATGCTTTTCAGTAAATAATTTCACCAAACGCTTCTCATCATGCAATATTCCAATAAGACTCATATCATAGTCACTTGAGACTTGAATGTCGCTTGTTCTGTTCCCCGTAACAGGATAATTGCAAATAACATTGAGGTGGTACTCACGTGTATTGGTTAATGTAAGTTTGTGTAATCCATTAACCAATTAATCGAAAATACATGATTTTGATATAAACGATGGTTAACGATGGTTCGTCACACCTCCTTCATATACGGGCATATTATTCTCGAGATAGTTAATCTTTCCATCATATGAACAAAGAATTACGATTTGATCGTTCATCGTTATTTCTGAAGAGTAAAAAAAATCCAATATCAATATTACATGAAAAACACAAAAAATATTATTTACCATTAAATCCTCTAATATTGATTTTAGACATCCATAATTTTAACCAAATGTCAAACCTTTATAATACACCAACTTTTATAATTTTCAAGAATTTCCCTTCTAACTTTATACACAAATTTCTTTAATTTTTCTTCACAAAATTCATAAATATTTTCAAAATCTAAATTAAAACAAGTTATAAGCATGAAATAGTGAGAATATATAAAAAATTAGGAGAAAAATAAAAATTTTACCTAAAATTGGTTGATGCCATAATTTACGGTGAACTCAGGCGGAGACGACGGCGGCAGGATCGACGATGGACGATGGATAATACGACGACGACAGCGACGGAGGCGACAGAGGGGGGTGGCGATATAAAGGTCTAGGGTTTAATGGTGAAGGAGCAAAGAGAAAGAGGGGGGGGGGGGGTCGGGTAAATACGATTTGTTATCGCGTAGGCTTTATATAGTCCCTGCTGCAACTCCACGGATTTCAAATCGGCCGTGGATTGGGCAGGCCACCACGCTCTGGCGAGGTAGCTTGCAACCCCACGAGATTTGAAATCCCATGAAGATTTGGCCCCATTAACCAGCTTGCAAATCCCGTTAAGTATTTCAACTTTATTTATAAATTTTGACCCAGTTTCAGCCAGGTGGTTGAAACTGAGTCGAAATTTGTAAATAAATATAAAAGGGGTCGATTTTTAGTATTAAATTTCTAAATGAGTCTAAAACGAAATTTTGTCCTTAATTTGACGTTGCTTTTCCTTATCAACTTCCATTTAGATTCCTTCATAAAAAAAACCCCAGTTCTACATTGCGCCGCGCCCAAATTTGGCTTCAAATTGAAACTGAATCCCGAATTAAAGAGTCTTAGGGGCTGTTTGTTTGTTTTTTAGAGGGAAAGGTGGGGATAGACTGCCACAGTGTTAGAACTGTGACACAGCTTCATAAGAGGTCGATTTATGAGACGATTTTGGGAGAAAGTGCATAGTTCTGACACACTGTGGCAACTTCCCCCCACTTTCCTAAAAAAAAAAAACAAAACAAACTGGCCCTAGCTGCTTTTCTTCTAACGTGTCCTTGCCACGTCACCAGCTAAAAAAAAATGACATCATGTACACGCATGTGACGGGTGCTCGTCGGAAATTGGCTGCGGATAACCATTTTGAGTCTTGTTACCTTCGAATCATTTTAAACGCGTTAAAGCGGAGTTATCCAACAACTAAAACGAGTCCTTGATAAAAAGGGTGTACGTGTACCGGTTTGGTAATTTAGCCTGTATTTCACAGATTTCTGATCCCCGCTCTGACCAAAGTGTACAAAACATCCTCCAACATAACCTAGATTTTAGCCACACAAATACGTCATTTTTCTTCCCAAAATGCCCCTCTCTCCCTTCTTTACTCCTGTTTGCTCTTTCTTCAAACTTCTCATAGTCAGAGCCATGAATGGGAGACTAAAATAAAAGCACGATAGCGCCACTATTCCCTTCAAGCCCTCGCTTCAACCCTACTCAAGCCTGGAAAATTCCATTCTTTTTGTCATTTTTGCTTACATTTCCCCCCTCTTCTTCCCGTAGTGCCCCTGTCCAAGGCACCCACCGCTTTCCTTCAATCCAACTCCAGCTCCCAATCATTTGTCCACTTCACGGTTCCCCAATGAGAAAAGAACCCATCTAACAAAAATCAAATCTTTTTGCCATTTAGCCCCACCTCTCCCCTTTTATTCCCGTAATACCCCTGCCCATGGCAGCTGTGCTTCAATCCCCGCGGACCCTTTTAAGCCCAGCGGATGAGGGGAGCAAAGAAAGAGAAGAGGAAGAGCTTTCACTGGTAGCTTTGCTGCGCTGACTTTATTGAGGAAATCTTTGGTCGGGTGTAGATTGGGAAGAGAAGGGGGCGAGCCGCTCGATGGAGATCGGATGTCCTACGGATGTGAGACACGTGGCACACGTCACCTTTGATCGGTTTCATGGGTTCCTTGGCTTGCCTGTTGAGTTTGAGCCCGAGGTCCCGAGAAGAGCTCCCAGTGCCAGGTCTTCAATTTTGACTATTTTTAGTTCAATTTTGGTGCTGAAATTTAGATTAATTATGAGAATAATTGTTTGGATACAGTGAAGAATTTTGATGCTATTTACTGGAATTTTGATGCTAAACTTTGCTTATTAGTTTGATATTTGGGTTGTGAATTTGAATATTGTAGTCTTAGGGGGGAAATTAGGTTGGTTACTGGAGTTTTGATTATGATAAAAAAATTCTGCTGGATTTTTGAATTTGTTAGAAAGAATTTGATATCGGTGTATGAATTCAAGAGATATAGTTATAGAATATCGTTTTCTTTTTAAAAGAATTGCTGTATCAATTCAGAAACAAACAGTATAACTTATCAAGTAACATACATCGGAAGACTTCATAATGTGCATCGGTAACTAACTCACCAATCATATCATACTTCCTTTAAAATTAGGAGTTAGGGAAAATTTTTCTATGGTCAATATTATCCTTAATTTTTTTAATATTACATTGTTATCCTAATCTATTCTAATTATCCTATCTTTTTTTGAATTGGTAACTAAATGATTTATTCTATTCATAATGAAATTTAACATGTTACTGGATAAAAGAGATATGTTTTATATAATTCAAATTCTTTACTTATTTTAGTTCATAGAGAAATCTAAAAAACATATGTTAGCCAGCACCTAAAAGTTTTTGAACTTTGTAAAAAATATTCTCTAAGTTATTTAAATTACAAAAATGCCCCTACAAATTTAAATTTTTATTAAAGCATCTTGAAAATTATAAATTTTACCTATTTCAATTTAGTAAGAAATCTAAAAATATCTTGTTAAGATTATTAGACCATAGTTAAGTGCGCACATCACTATTCCTAGGCAGTATAGTTTATATATGTAAAAATTTTCAAACAATCTATATAGTGGTTAAAAAGATTTTGATTTTAATGTACTATTTTTTATAAATTATATTTAATATGAATCCACCATATAATTTTGACTGTGGTCATCATAATTTTAATATGTTTGATTGATTGACTATAAATGTATGTAGATCATAGATTACTTTACTTTCTCACATTAGCTAATATTTGGTGTTTAATAATTTAAATTGTTACTTTTAAATTTAATATAAAGAGGAGCTCTAATAATATTTATTTATTTACCTATATCATAATACAATCACAATTCCTATTTTTTGTTGGAGGTTTATTCCATAGTTACGCTTATCAAATTAGTGACTAAAACAATAGTTATTTATGCTTAAATTAGGATGATTGTAGTTGGTCATTCACTATGAAATTTTTATGAAGATATATGCCTTACTTTTTATAACTATCTACACTGCCCATGTATAATTTATAAATTAGTTCTTAATTTGACATATTAAATTACTTTTTCTTTGTAGAAATTTCTTCTTTGACTTTTGGACTGTGTAATTACTTTATCATCATTCTAGTGTAGAAAGGACCTCATTCTAAATGGCTTCAAGCCAATGTTTGAGTTGAACTGAAGTATATACTATTGCTATTATGTGTATATATTTTTTAAGAAAATTATGTCAATACTTTTTAAATAGAAGAGAATATTCTAACTTCTGATATTATAAAAATTAAATATAGCCAATTGAGTGATTAGTGCAAGAGAACTTACATCAGAAAAGTGTCAATAATAAGATAAAGAGGAAATGTAATGGCATTGCCAATAATACTACAAATAACAAACTACAATGTAAAGTTAACATATTTTGTCGAGCCCAACTACTGGCTATAAGCATCGATGTTTCCATATATATACTTTATAATTTATTAAAAAGGGTCATATAATCTTATATAATAAAATTGACTTAGTACCGAATAGTAATATTATTGTAATAATATCGTTATTAGGAAAAATTCTTCATGAATCAATATGTTCTTTACAATGTATAAACTATGCACTCCAAATTCTTGTGTCATTTATAGAGCAAAAAAGTTTGAATACGAGCCTCTAACATGTTGCTCTCATAACATCAAAATCCACTTAGTAGATGTTGATTTTTCAGATGAGTTATGTATCCTATATACAATATAATTATCCTAGGCAAGTGAGTTATAATAGCATTTTTTATTCACATCATTTGGGGCAAGATTTGATAGGGGCCTTGTATCAAAGAATTTTTTTATATCTAGAGCACATGATGAAATATATCATAATCTCCTTGCTCTAATTTCGTAAGAAAATAATTCTTCATACTTTCAGTTTTACTTCTATGATACAGGGAATGAGCTATAAAATTGAATGAGAACATTAGATAATATAAATATGAGTGAAACAATAACTAAAAGTTAACGTGAATACAAGTCAAATCACAACTACAAAGTTTAATGGATATATTGTAAGTAAATTCATATACAAAATTCTTTTACGAATTGAATGATCACCCATCTTTTGAAGATTTCAAGATACTAATAAATAGAGGTGTTTTACTAGATTAATGTGTTTATAACTAACAAATAGTAGATCACGTGGCCATAGTCTGGGTTGAAGGAATAATGACAATATTTTATTTTTACTCTATTTTTATTAATTTAAATAATCATGATATTCAACCACGTGCACTAGTATATGATAAATGCGTAAGTGTACATGCCATAGTCTATATTTATGGCTGATATAACCCTATCGTGATCTGGGAAACTCAAGATTTTCCTTTGAAAGTTCATGGCCATCATGACCCTATTTTAATCTGGATGACTCGAGATTTCTATTAAAAAGCCCATGCCCTTGATTTCGCTCTCGCTTATGAATATTGTTATTATAGTTGCATTTCTGCTTACCATCTATTATCATTGCGCACTTTGACAGTGCTTTTTGGGGTTCATAAAGGCGCATATGAAAATTTATATTTCCAATGCATGCTCTTTAGCATAAAGACCTAACTCTCATATTTCTTAGTGCAGTGTGAGAGTATTCGGAGTGTCAACTGAATCAATGCAATGCTCCTTTGATTCTAGAGGGAATAGTGTTCCAACAATACTCCTGTTAATGCAAAACCGCCTTTATGAGCAAGGTGGCCTTCAGGTTTGTGCCTTGCAAATTACTAATTGAGTAAACTTGAAGTTTCTGTTGTCTGAAACTTCATTATCATCTAAATGATTTTTTAGGCTGAAGGCATTTTCAGAATTAATGCGGAGAACAGTCAAGAAGAGTATGTAAGGGACCAGCTAAACCATGGAATTGTTCCAGATGGTGTTGATGTGCACTGTCTAGCTGGCCTGATTAAGGTGCTTCAACATTCGAACATTGTCCTATGAAACACATTTTTCTTCATATTCCTAGGGCCGGTTTGTGATTCTGTTCTTTAATTGGCTTTTTTAGTTTTTTTGAATTTGTTCAGATCAATCTTTTGTGTTTCTGGCATATAGCTTGAAAAAAGTACTGTTATTTTCTTATGTTTTTGTTTGCTAATCAACAGCCAACAATAGAATTCTTGTTCCTAAACTTTCAGGGTTGGTTTATGGATTACTTTAACAGTCATCCCTTGCTTGAACTGACAACTACACTATCCTTTTTATTTCCTGGATCTAAATTTATTTGGCCTTATTACTCGGTGGCTAGGATTTTATTTCAACTAGTTCTCTTCTTAGATTTCATTGAGTTTTCCCTGACCGTTCCCCTGCAAACAAATACAGTCATTTCTTGTGCTTCTCTTAACGTACTGTTACTCATATGTCTCATCATTATCATTTTTTCTACGTTCATTTTTTCGGATGTTTGTTTTCTATATTGTCCCCCGTTCTAACCCTAAAGCATGTATGCGTGTCTTTTAGTCACTCTTATGTAGTTTCCCCCCTAATTTCATGGGATTTTAGGACCACATATAACATCAGAGGAAGTACTGGGACCAATGAGGGGCATTTATCACGGGTAACCAAAAGGATTAAGTTACACCTGCAAACTGTGTTGTCGTCTCCCATTGTGTAGCCTTGTTCCTCACTTGTGTATTTTGAGCTATGGACTTCAAGCACCAGCAGATCTCATGAGCAGTTAGGATGGTCCTTCTCTTATCCAAATTTACCTCGAGGAGGGATTTGAAACGAATTCCTCGCATCCTCAAGGCCGATCCTCGTTGAGAGTCGTTCGATAAGATTGTCAACCCTTCTCAAGATATTTAATTAAGGCGCCACCTTTAAAGTTCATGTAAATCCTGCTCTAAATATAAGCCGGTCATGCCCATTCTCACTCCTCATCATTCATCGTATTTTTTTTGCATTAATTGCAGATAAGCCCCATAGTATTGCTATTTTGAGCTAACTACGCATGTAACGCCTCTAGTTTTATTTTTGCAGACAGACCCCCCCAGGGAAATTTTCTCAAACTCTTTTAACACCCAAGAGTGAGGTGTTTATCCAATGAAAATAATAATAATCTTCTAATAGTGCTATATTGCGCGGTGCTCTCTTATAGGCCTGGTTTAGAGAACTCCCGACCGGAGTGCTGGACTCTCTCGACCCCGAACGAGTAATGCAATGCCAATCAGAGGAAGAATGCGCACAACTCGTCGGACTCTTGCCACCGACACAAGCTGCTCTCTTGGATTGGGCCGTTAACTTGATGGCTGACATTGTTCAAGAAGAACACCGCAACAAGATGAATGCCCGCAATGTTGCCATGGTTTTTGCTCCGAACATGACTCAGGTAAAGTAGTAAGGTTTTTTTTTTTTATATATTGACGCCTTATATCTTTCACGTTTTTCAAATTACTGCCCCAACTCATTGAAATTGATATTAGGCCCACCAATTCTCAAGTATTGTGAAATTAGTCCCTCAAATCGTTAAAACTGCTATTAGCTTCCCCATTTATCATTAAGTTGTTTCAAATCAATCCCTCCAATTTACTCTTGATCGGAGGGACAAATTTCAGAATAACTTGAAGGATTAGAGGACCTAATAGCAATTTCAATGATTTGAGGGGCTAAAACAAAATATGAGAGATTTAAGGGACTAATATCAAAAAAACCCAAATTAAAAAACGCCTCCTGACATGGAAATCATGGATAGGGGCCTCTATAGGAAATCATATAGGGAGGAAGGAGGAGACTACACGTGTCTCGCTACCAATTTCGAAGTTGCTGATTGCACTGATTTCATGTATTTTATGCATCGTTTCATTCTTCTGTTTGCACTGATCTCATGTGTTGTGTACCAATTTGAAATTGATGTTGCCACACATATAGGCTCCTTCTTCCTACATGATTTTTCTATAGAGGGTAACATGACTTTAAATTTGGTCCGCTGATTTTGTGTACGGTATACACTGATTTAAAATTTTGAAGCTAATGATTGCATTGATTTGGTGTTCGTACGATTCAGTGTTCTTTTAACTGTTTACATCTGTTTTGAGCTGTTTGCACATTATTATTTACACTGGTTTAAATTGGTGCTTATACAAATATATGCTCCTCTGTATGATTTCCTCCCCTCCTATCTTACTTTTATTATGACAATTGCCTTCACATCTTTCGTTACAGATGGCAGATCCTCTTACTGCACTGATGTATGCCGTCCAAGTGATGAACTTTCTCAGAATGCTGATCCTGAGGACACTCGAAGAACGAGAGGGACCGATTCTAGAAGCTTCTTTGATTTGCCATTCAGGGCCTTCCGATGAAAATGGGCATCACAGTCCTACGACGTCCCATACTGAGGACGGCGAAAAAGAAGAGGCTGAACAAACTTCTGTTCATGAGGAACCCATTTTAGATACTCTTGCTTGCCAAACAGAAGATATTTCAACCAGAGATGCTGATACTTCTCCGATCCCTCAAGAAAACGATATTTCAACAGCTGATCGAAACTCCAGAAGGGAAAAAGCTGGCCAACCGAGAAATTTGAATTCGAAGAAAGGGGCGCGGAGAATTAATGCTTCAGATGAGAAATCGAAAGGAATTGGTATTTTTAATCGTAGAAATCCCAAGGCAGAACGAGTAGAAGCATGGCGGTGAAAAGAAGCTCAGTGATGGTTCGATCTTGGTTTAGATGTGTTCATTCCTTGTATCAGATACATTTTTTGGCACTAACTTATGATGGTTCTTTACGGTCTGTTTCTTCATTTTCTCAGTGTGTTTCTTTCAGTCATCTTATGGCTTGTTTTTCGCCTTTTGCTCGTCATGTTCAAGTTTCTGCGTGCATTTTGGTTCCCCTATTGTTATTGTTATTTTGTGGATTTGGTTATGTGAAATAACTTTTCTACACAGAAAAATTACCTCATGTTAGTATCTCGAATCCCTGAACTTTTCTCCGATTGTTCTATTATTTGCTCACCATGATATACTAATCTTGTATTCTCGCACAATCTTTTCTTTGAATTCCCTTTTCCCTCTTTATTCATGTTTCTCACATGGCTTAAATTTACATCAAGACCCTGGAAATGTGATAAAAGACAACTATATATATGAAGTCCTTATATATATCATGGTAGGATGCCAAGTCAGATTCCCAGGACAATGCCTTCAATATCTTTGGCAAATTCTGTTTACATTCTAGCCCGGGAGATTTATAGCGGTCTTTTATTAAAGAAACCACAAGACGTATATAACGTCATTTTAGATTGATGTATAGTACATAATGGTGCAAGTCTATGATAATGTGGGCACCCTCAACACCTCAGAGAACAGAGAACAGCAAGACTCCAGCACCTATCCTCAGATAACAACCACCCAAGAAGCCACACATCCCGCATCATCAGTTCGCGGGTAAAAATGCTCGTTAAGCTTTATCGCTTGCATAAAATTCACTTAAGAGACATCTCAACAAATTATTTGATCAGAAGCGGTAGCCCTAGCGGTTTATTGTTAGTTTGTTCCATCTCCAGCTCCAAGGATTCCCTTTTTCACAGGGCACTAAAGCAGGAGTAGCTAGTTTTGTACACCAACGGTTAGTCTACAGACCGTATGGCAGTCGACACCGTGCATGGAGAAAATATCCAGTGCACCTGGTCCATGGAATTATGGTGCACCGAAAAGATATCTTTGGTAGCTAAACTTGAGGTTTTGTACACTCAGTTGATATCCCCTTTTCGTGCACCATTAATGATATGGACAGCTAATTCTTACGCCCTTTGTATAACATTACTGTTATTTGCTGAATGAGCCAACAGCGTATGAGTCGGTGTGGGTAACTCCCCTGTTTATTTCCTTATCAGAAGGCTAGTGCCCACATCGGCGATAGGAAATAAGAACATCGCAATTGCGAAATTCAAACTTTTCTTCAATGGGACTGTAACTGCAAGAGATAGCATTACTGCAATAGTTATTTAAAACCAACCAAGTTTGCTCTCCATGCATAACAAGGTTACATATAAGCAGGGTATCATAAACTTTACAGAGTAGGCACAGATATTCAGTTGTCCTGAGCTCATCTAGCACTTGAAACCTCTGCAGGCCATCAGCCATATGATGAGAATGAGTGCCGCCAAACCACCTCCTACCATAAGCTTGAATTTGAGGTTGTCGAGCCACATCTTACGTCGAAGTTGCCTACCTTGCCTCTGAAAGCTGTCAGCCTAACATGTATTTACCAGGAACCAGAATTAGCGAGGCAAAAATTTAATTTAATTTAACCGTTTCCCCTAACAGCGCATGAGTAAATCTATGTACCTGAAACTGCAAGTTCTCAGTCTTATCGACCAAAAGTTCAATTTTTTCACCCCTATCAAGAACCTGTGCAAAATAGAACTGGAGTCAGATTACTTTTTCATCATGAAACCGGATTACCTCGAGTGGAATCTATTTGGCATCTAAAATGGAGTCAGCTAATTCACTTCAGGTGTTTATGCATTCAATATAATTGAGGCACAAACAACATTGTCTATAACTCTTTCCTGACATGATAAGAGAGCAAGTGTTGGTTCACATTCTTCATTTAAGCCTATAGCCTCACCTCTGCAAACTGACATATCTCAATGTAAATGCCAAGTTTTAGATGGAAGCTCCATAAAAGCTCTATTGTCACAACCAATTGATCTTCCTCTTCTCCCCCTTCGTTTTATCCATGAGGTTTCCCTCCATTATTGTAACTATTCAATTCGCTGTTAACTTGTATAACTCATTCTCTTATCCTTGATTTTTTCATCCATGTTTCTGCCAATTGAAAGTTTAAGTTAAGAATATATTCAAGTTTTCCAATATGTTAATAATAAAATGTTGTGCTAATACTTGGAAAACTTGAATATATTCTTAACTTATACTCAGTAGGTTCCACTGCTTACAGCGCCAAAGGGCTCGCAGGCTCCAGGCATGACACTCGGCATTGGAAATTTGGTATAAAAGCCTAGTTGTTGTTAATCGTTACTTCTATATGTATGTCGTACACTAGTTATGCTAATACTTGGACCATGTATTACATAATATCTGAAGCCCTGGGTAGATATGATATGTCTTCTTACACAAACCAATCAAATAGTACCTAACATAGATTAGGAGCAAAAGTTAGACAATTAAAGATTGTAGCATTCTCTGTTAGCAGAAACAGAAAATAGACTAACAGAGTAGAGAATGCAATAGGATCCCCCAACTCCCGTACTTTTAAAAAAGTCAAGATAATCTAATAAGTGTCAAAACAAAATAAATAACATTTTTTGGACCCTTAATCTCTTTTAAAAAAACATATACCTTCTCAATATTTTCCATCATTACTCCTTTAACCTCCGTAATTTGAGCTTTCAGTTTCGACAGCTTGCCCATTTCTTCAGGATGACTTATGCAATATTGCATATGCTCCCTCAATACAGGGCTGTTTAAATGAATAGGAAAAAAAAGAGCAAGATGTATTAATAACTCTACAAATCAATATGTTCTCATATGTGTAATTAATGCATACCCAAATCCGCGATCAAGCTGATAGGCAATACTAAACCTATCTTCAAATAGATCATCATCCTCATCGTCAGCTAGTGGGTGCTGATCCTCAACACTAATACTTGACCCATAGCGTTTCATAAAGTCATCTCTGACCCTTTCAAGAAACACAAATGGTACACTCCTACCAACTGCTTCATCAGCAACGACAAGGAAAACTGCACTAACCAAAAAACAAATCATCAAATTGTGAAGAAGGCTTTAGGCGTACCAGCGACAATAAAACAAAGGATAACCATACCAAAACCTCTATCGAGCAGGAAGTTAAACGTATGGCCATCACAAGAATATGTGTACTTGTTACTGTTTGGAGGGAGCCTCTGCAGACACTGGACTGCAATCGTACTGAAATTTCCAGAAAACGAAGTGTGTTCTGCAAGAACAACAGTGCCCTTCGCAACAAAGCTATATATCAATGGTTGTTTACTCATGGCTCTCGAATGGATATCCTCAACTATACCAATCAAACCAAATGCCTATTTAGAATGAATTCTTCATAACTATTTTAAAAAAGAATAAAAGAAACCTTCAAACTTCAATTTCTAACGCATAAAACAATTGAAATGATTTGGTCATGAGACCCTCAACTATACCAGTCAAACCAAATGCCTATTTAGAATGAATTCTTCATAACTATTTTAAAAAAGAATAAAAGAAACCTTCAAACTTCGATTTCTAATGCATAAAACAATTGAAATGATTTGGTCATGAGATGGCCGCTAGTTTAGTTTCCCTATCGAACTGATCAAACAACATGGATTACACAACACTAGTTTTTACTTATGTTTCTGGCATCTGCGGTTAAATTGTTTCGTCAATCCCCAAATGACAGTTCAAAGTTAGTATATTTGAGGGGAACGCTTATTGACCTTAATAAGATTGATAATAACCTATGTTGCCTACATACGGGTACGGGTACGGGTATAGGACACGGAAAATTTGTAAAAAGTAGGGTACGGGGACACTGCTGTATATATATAAAATAATTCACTTTAGATCAGTATTGAATTAAATACTTATTATGTTTGCAAATATACCCCAAAATATGACAAGCATCTCTCAAAATATTACAAGTATATTGTTTAAAGTTGCAAATATACCTCCAAAAGTTAGTTCTATATCCCAAAAACTTACAACTAACTAGCATATTCCAAAAGTTAAAACTATATTTCCTGGCATAAGAAATAGAAAACTATTTTTACTTTAATTAAATTTAGAACTAATATTATTACTTATATAAACCCAAATTCAAACCCCTCCCCATATAAAACCCAAACCCAAACCCCTCCCCATATAAAAAAACAAACGGGTGATGAAAAAAACCCGAACCCGAACCCAAACCCAAACCCAAACCCCTCCCCATATAAAACCTGATCCTCCCCCTCTAGGGTTTCCGTCTTCGTCGCCTCCTCCCATTTCTTCTCGCCAATCTCTAGGGTTTCTGTTTCCTCAGTCCTCCATCAATGGCCCCTTGCAAGACCGCTAGGGTTTCATCCAGTAACCCAGATCTCGTTCGAGAGATCGACGAATGTACCACAAGCGAGGCCTGTGGGCGATCAAGGCCAAGAACGACAGATCTTTCCCCAAACACGACAAGAAACCCGAACGCTAAGCCCGCCGAGAAGCCGCCCAAGTTTTATCCTGCTGATGACATGAAGACTCCCATCCCCAACCGTCGCAAGCCCAAGCCCACCAAGCTCAAGCATGGATTCTAGGGTTTTGGTTTCTAGGGTTCCTGGGTTTAGAATTTTGTGTTGATTTTCCCCCCTCACTTGTGAAATCGCCGTGTCCCTGCCGTTTGAGTGCGGAACCGTACCCAAAACGTACCCGACTCGGGTACGGGACCAATTTAGCCATGTCGGGGTATCATAGATAATAACACTAAAGGACTAAAAAAATCATAGTCTGTAGCACCAAATAGAAATCAAAATGCTTCAAATTTCAAACATATTGTTGATAATATTGTGTTAGTAGTGGGTTTTGTCTCACATTGGTTATGAGAACAAATGTCACCCTCCTCTACTTGTATATATATATGTACACACTCAATATTCAATTCAAGAAAATATATATATATGTACACACTCAATATTCAATTCAAGAAAAATTTATCCAAGACTCTCTCTCTCTTACTTTAACATGGTATCAGAGCTTGGTTTAGGATATCCCAAATAAAAAAAATCAAATAAATAAATTTTTTTCTTCTAAGTTGCCGATCTCAGTCGCCGCAAGAGATCTCGGCCGCTGCCATTGTCGCAAATCTTGGTGGAAATCTGCTCAATCCCGTAATTTCCACAGCAGGAGATCTGATTGGCCGCCGCGATCTCTGTCCCCAAATTGTCGTCGCGATTTTTCGACACGATCTCCGCTAATTGAGAGCGATTTAATTAGAGATTTTGTTGAGATTTATATAACCTTATATATATATAATATTCGGGTTCTATTTTAAACCTTCGGGTTCCATTCAAACATTCAGGTTCTATTTTAAACCTTCGAGTTCTATTCTAAGATTCAGGTTCTATTTTAAACATCCGAGTTCCATTCTAACATTCGGGTGCTATTTTAAACATAGGGTTCCATTCTAACCTTTGGGTTTTTTCGTTCAAAGATTATTGTCTTGAACTTCGGTTTGCTGTTATAGCTCGTTCAGAGAAGATTCCTAAACCACCACTGTCCCTCAATGATCAAAGTGACTAGGCAGGGTGGTCCATTATTGTCACCAATACCTTGCCTGGCGCTAGTCTGCTTGATCATTTTACCATTACGAGATCACTTTCACCGTCCATCAGCATTGCTGCTTTATCTAATACTGTTACATCTGATAGTGTTGATGTCGATCTTCAGACCACTCGTGCTTTCTATGTCAAGGAGAGTTCAGACTGATAATTGTAGGAATTTCGTGTCATAGATTATCTCACTCGTTGTGTTTGCTTCGGTACTATCAAAATTGGTTCGCTTCCCTCTGTTCGGGCCATATGGACTCGCCCCACTGAGCGTTTCACTGAGTGTTCTGGTACACGGGAGACATCTTCTGCAACGCGTTTCTCTACAACACAAATGTAGTTCCTCTCTGCAGTCTCATTTTGAACAAATACAAGCTTTTTGGACAGAATTACGCTCCATGTTTCCTAGACCTGATTCCACATATGAAGATTGGCTAGCCTGATACGACATGAGGTGCATCAACTGTTTCAGTCCCTTCCTTAATATTCAACTATGGTTGATCAACTATTTCATTAGCCTCAATTTTTTACTTTGGCCTAAATTATAGGAGCTCTCATTGCTTATGAGACCCAGCAGCAGACAACACGACTCAATTTATCAACAGACACTCCTACCTCTTCACTCGAGACTGCTCTGTCCGTACCTGTCACTACTCTTGTTATGAATCATACATCTCAACAGGCTCCCTCCACGGGCTCGATCTAAGCTCTCTTGCAAATATTGCAAGAAGGAATGACACCGCATTGAGACATGCTTCAAGCTTCATCCTGAGTTATATTCCTCAGGTACCGATCGTGGTCAGCTACCCCCTCAGTCTCAACCCTCTCGTACACCAGGATTGTTGGTCAATACTATACATTCTACCACTTCAGGCTCTACTATTCAAGTTATTTAAGGTCTTCGCCGTTAATTAAATGTTTTTCGACATATCACCTCTACATCTGCTGCACAACTCTCTGGTATGCATTTTGCTGGTTCTTCAGCTAACCCATTCGGTCTTTAGTATGAATGATCTCTGAATTTTTGACTCTGACTGTTCCTTTCATATGACTTGTAATGCCTCACATTTATCCTCTGTCTCCACTTCATCTTCTCTTCCCTCTATCTACACAGCTGCTGGACAACCATTGTCTATCACTCAGTATGGCTCTATTATCCTACAAAATGATCCATCTGACCGTCTAACACTTGGTCACGTCTATGCGACTCCTCAGTTGTGCTTGAATTAAATTTCTATTAGCTCTTTATGTATGACTGACCCGCTTGTCTCATTTTCTTCTAATACTTATCTTATGTAGGATCCACGGACTGGCAAGACGGTTGTGGTGGGTCGTAGGAGGCACAAGCTATATTTTTTGGAATATCTTCACCTTTCAAAGTCCATACGTCTACGTTCTCTTGTTGCTTCTGTTTGTACGTCAAAACCCTCTACCTCGCTTCCTGTCAATTTGTGGCATAAACGACTTGGTCATGTGTCTAATAAAAGGCTGGAGAGTCTTATTCAGTCTGGAGTACTTGGTCTGGCATAAACGACTTGGTCATGTGTCTAATAAAAGGCTGGAGAGTCTTATTCAGTCTGGAGTACTTGGTCCTGTATCACTGGAGAGTCTTATTCAGTCTGGAGTACTTGGTCCTGTATCATCTAGTTCTAGTATTGAGTCATGTATTTGTTGTAAATTAGCTAAAATTCTCTGCTTTACCATTTAAAATGAGTATATCTGTATCCACTTCCTTATTTGATTTAGTACATTCTGATATTTGGGGGCCAGCTCCTCTGTCTTCTTCATCTGACTACTTATATTATGTTAGTTTTATCGTCGATTTCTTTCGTTTTACATGGGTTTACCTACTTAAAAATCGCTCTAATGTACTTACTGTTTATCAAGCCTTCACTTCTATGATCTTCACTCAATAACAATCTCATATTAAAGTTTTCTGTTCTGACTGTGCCAAAGAATACATATCCCCTATCATGCGCTCTATCATGTCCTCTCATAGGACTACATTTCAACAGTCATGTCTCTACACTCATGAGCAAAATGGTATTGCTGAACGTAAACATCGTCATATCCTCGATACCGCTCGATCCATGCTCATTTCTTATTCTGTTCCTCATCGTTTCTAGGCTGAGATCATTATCATTGCTACTCATGCTATTAATATCACTCCCTCTAGCTCTATTTCTGATGCTACTCCTCATAGTCGTGTTTATACTCATCTTCCCCATTATGATCTGGTCCGCGATTATTCTGCTTCTGATAACTTCAATTTCCTCCACTCTACTGATCATGCTTCCCCATCAGTTGCATCACCATTTCTTCACCTCAGTTTTTCTTTTGAGATCTTCCTGATATCTCTTCATCTCCTTCTGTTGACTCTTCCTCACCTGAGCCTTCTCTTACACCATCTGATCTCTATCCCGTGGACACGACACTCACTCCAGAAAATACCGTTGATCTTCACGCACATGCGCCAACATCTCCCCCGCCTAAGATTCCTCTTGCTCTTCGTCGAGGCAAACGCTTGCATGTCATGCCTGCCTGGTATGCTTCGATTACTTCCTAATCACCTATCTTTCATAACTTTCTTGCTGTCATTCATACTACCGTTGAGCCAAAGTCCTTTCAAGAGGCAGTTCAATTTCTAAAATGACGACATGCTATGGCTGAGGAATTTCAGGCCTTTAAGCAAACACATACATAAGATGTCGTTCCCTGTCCTCCTGAGATCTCTCTTGTTAGCAATAAATGGGTTTATAAGGACAAGTATCGTCCTGATGGCACTATTGAACGTCGAAAAACCCATTTAGTGGCTCAAGATTTTACTTAGCAACAATGTATTGATTATGATGAGACATTTGTTCTTGTTCCTCAGATATCCACCGTTCGTACTCTACTTGTGGTTGTTGTTGCTCATCATTGGCCCTTATACCAGATGGATGTTAAGAATGCTTTTTTTCATGGCTCTTTATCTGAGACAGTATATATGCAACCGTCTCCAATGTCTAATATTCCTCCAGGACACGTATGTCTCCTTCGTCGTGCTATTTATGGTCTCAAGCAGACACCCCGTACTTGGTTTGAGTGTTTTCGTGATGTCGTGCTCAAGGCGGGCTTTATGAAGAGTCATCAAGATGCTTCTCTGATTGTTCGCACTACATCGCGTGGCAGAATTTTATTACTCCATGTAGATGATATGATCATTATAGGTGATGATGTTGCTGGTATACAGTATGTAAAATCTTAATTACAATAATAATTTCACATGAAAGATCTTGGATCTCTTCGCTATTTTCTTGGTCTAGAAATTTCTCAAGGCCCGCGGGGTGTACTACTGTCTCAACAGAAGTATCTCTTAGATATTTTAAATCTCGCTAAGCTAACTGACGATGCAACTATCGATACTCTACTCTAACAGAATGTCAAACTTCGCTCTACTGATGGTGAGCCTCTATCTGATCCTACCCGATACCGACATCTTATTGATCAGTTGGTCTATCTGTGTATTTATCGACCAGATATCTCTCATGTTGTTAGCATTGTCGGTCAATTTGTTAGTGTCCCACATTCTGCACACTATGTTGCCTTATTACGGATTCTTCGATATCTCCGGGGTACTAGCACTCGCTCTCTTCTGTTTCCTGCTACATCCAAGTTAGAGATTTGTGCATATTTTGATGCTGATTGGGCTGGTGATTCCACTACCAAAAAGCCTACCACATGTTATTGTATATTTCGTGGTGATCCCCTTATTTCCTGATGGAGTAAGAAACAAGATGTTATTGCTCTTTTCAGCACTGAGACAGAGTATCGTGCAATGTCCATAACAGCTAAAGAGATTATTCATCTTCGTCATATTCTCAGTGATTTTAGTATTTTTGTTATGACTCTTACTCCTCTCTATTGTGATAATAAGAGTGTCATCCAGATTGCTAATAATTCAGTATTTCATGAGGACCAAAAATATTGAGATCGACGTTCATTTTGTCCGTCAACAAGTTATCATTGACAAGACAATTTTACTTCCTCATGTCTCATCCGCTGACGAGCTTGCTGATTTCTTCACAAATGCCTTACTCGTTTATCGATTCCACTTTTTTGTATGCAAACTCATTTTGTTTGATCCAACAATAGTAGTTTGAGGGGGTTGTTGATAATATTGTGTTAGTAGTGGGATTAGTCCTACATTGGTTATGAGGACAAATCCCACCCTCCTCTACTTGTATATATATATATATATATATTATATATATATATATATATAGTATATATATATATATATATAATATATGTACACACTCAATATTCATGAACACACTCAATATTCAATTCATGGGAAAAAAAATTTACCCAAGGCTCTCTCTTACTTCAACACATATGAAACTCTTAATCAGGGTTCAGCCATCAATAAATTCAGCTGACCGGGAGTTTTAAAACAGTGATCAAATCAACAGCGATTACTTTTTTTTTGCGAGGGCTCTATTTCAATATACCAAAAACATAAAGACATAAAACTTTCTAAGTCTGTGATCAACAACATATAGAGAGTTTTTGACCTATAATCATAAGCTAAATTCCAAGAAAATTGTCGTCAAATATGACACAGTACGGATTCACTGCCCTAGATCTCACAAAAAGAAGTTCATAGGATTCTTCAAAGCAAATTAAAAGAATTACGCATCAAATTTTAGAAGAAAACTCGAAATAATGGAGATCACTAGATCAAAAAGAGATTTAAGAGATGAGAATTTAAATAGATTAAAAAATTTGTAAATCGAACCTCAGAAACCCTAATTCGTTCTCTTCAACTCGAATTTCTCGTTCCCCTTTGCTTCTTCGTGCTCTTGGCGCTGGGGCAGTTGGGGAAGAGACGTGATTAAAGTAATCGGGTTAGTAAATGATCACGATAAGTAATACGGACAAATTTTGAAAATCAACCCATTTTTAAAAAAAATTGCAAAAATCAACTCATTTACACTATATTTGTCAAAAAAGCAACTCATTTTTTGGCTGAAACTGGATTGATTTTCACCAAAAAACTTACAAAACTTCACGGGAATTGAAGTCCCGTGAAGTTTTGTTACCCAGTTTCAAGAGTTTCAGCTTGAAACTGGGTTGTCTGACTAAAACTGGGTATTTTAACAAATATGTTATAAACAGGTCGATTTTTGTAATTTTTTTTTGTAAATAGATGGATTTTCAAAATTTGTCCTAGGTAATATAACTATAATTATGCCACTGGCTTTGTTTAATATCTTTGCGAGCCACGCAGTTGCTTTGGGGGCGAGGAACAAGTTTTCCTTCAAAATACGGGTTATTTTGGGGATAAAAGAGTCGGAAGAAAGAACGGTTGATCGCTGTGAGCGTGACTGGTTGCGAGCGGTCAGAGTGAAGACTGCGGGTTTGGATCTACTTTTATTTTTCGATGCGAAACCCGTTAAATCTCTCAGTTTAAGTTGTTATCATTATATCATTAAAATATTAAACTATACAATAAATGCCCATGTATTATGCAATATCCTAATCATAAACCAGCATAAACATCATAAACCGTTATTTACTATTAGAAGCTATGCAAACTAAACAATGCCTTGCAGAGAGAAATGGGGGAGTAAATAAAAAAGAAAAAAGGGAGAGGTAATGCATCCAAGATTAAAGTACAAGAAACAATCTGATCTATTACGTCGCCAATAACCAAATTTGATGTGAAGTCTTGATCTATAAAATGAGTTCTACAGCTTTTTTCTTGGAAGGTGAAAATGGTAGCCTGTAGCATTTGCTTGCCAAGAAATAATATCAAAATATTAGCTCTCTGACAAATGTTGTTTTATTTCTATTAATATCAAAATGTAATATTCTTTTGAATGGAAAAATATTTAGTGCTCGCAAAAAGAAAAAAAGGAAAGAAGAACACTAAGAGAACGCAAATCCAGGCAATACAGCAAAAATTATCAAGTATTGTGTCCAACATCAAAGTCAATTTCAGAGCACAGAAACGACATTGAGAATTCTCAATCAAAGGCATCAGTTTTAAGAGGAAATTTAAACACTCAATAAATCTGAGCATATAAAGTTCCAGTATTGAGAAATTCTTGCGTTTTGAGCTCTAACAACAATCAAATTATTGTACAAAAGAGAAGATATTCAAAAACCAATCTCAGTCCGAACCATGCCTTCTCCTTTCCTTATCCTTACGATGCTTCCTCCTATCATCTGAATCATGTGACCTTTTCTTTTCACGCTTGTCCTTTCTCTTCTCCTCTTTCCTTTCATCATGTCTCCTCTTCTTCTTCCTCCTCCTATCGTCGTCGTCTGAAGCTTCTTCATCACTTCCGACATTTGGAGATCTAGGAATCGAGGCTCTCTCCTCTCCTTCAGGGGCCGTGCCTTCTAATTTCATTTGTGTAGAACTCGATTCTGCACGTTCACGAGGCACCCTATGACCAGAAAGATAAGACTCATTTCCACAGCTTATGAAGGCAACTATACAAGTAAAACTTCATGCATGGAGGAATTCTAGTTTAATAGATGCTGTAGGACTTAGTATCTTCCAAAAGTAGGAATATATGAGCCTTTATTGTAATTCAGGAGGAAGGGTCCCACATGCTTGTATTTTGTCCTACCAAAGTAGTATAACATTTGCAGTACACTTAGTGTAATAACCCTAAATTTTCACTTAATCAAAACATAGGAGAATTCAAGGTTCCTTAGTCTTTATTGCAATTAATCACATTAAACCATAAATACAGAACATTAAACAATAAAATATTATATTAAAGAAAGCTTTTATGCATATAATAGTTGTACTTATAATAAAATAAGCAATTACTTGAGGTATGCTATTGAAAAAATCTGAACTTAATAAAGTTAAAGCAAACCTTAACCCAAGTATTGCTGCAGCCTCGAGAGGCAAAGACGCATCTTTCCCAAAAGGAATAAAAAAAGAAGAAAATTCTGAACCTAGCTTACCAGAAGCCACGAAGGAAAGAAAAAAAATGTCATTTTATTAGGGTTTGTAGATTTTGGAGAATTGAAGTTTGGTCTGAGATTCATTACTCTTCTATGTAATTCCTACTCGTTGTCCAAGGAGGAATTATACTGCATGTTTAAGTAAGCACTCTTTACTTGTATGAGCCTGCCCTTTAACTTTTACATGAAGCCCCTGACTTTTACATGAAAGTTTATGCAGAATAATGCTAACTGTACTACAATTTTCATACTGTTTTGATCCTACAGGTCTTCAATATCTTTCAAAAGAAAAAAAAAAGGAACATGTAAGACTTGATTGCATTCCACAGAGGAAGAATCCTCATATGTTTGTATGTTGTAGCATCAAAGAAGTATGAGTTTGTGGTACAGTTACCTTTGCTCTTTTACGTTATTCCTACTCATTCTCTAGGAGGAAAATTAACACTGAAAGGATGTAAAGTATAATAATTTCTACCTGTATAAGCCAAGTCTCTAATTCTACATAAAAGTTCACGTAGAGTAATACTAACTATGCTACAATTATTCATACTAATTTGATACTACAGGTCTTAAGCATCTTCCCAAAATAAGAATATGTGATACTTAATCGCAATCCACCAAGAACGCTATCATGCTTGTATCTCCTAATACCAAAGACGTATGGATTTTGTGGTACAATTAGCATTCCTCCTTCATGTGATTCCTACTCATTTAATAGGGGAAGTTTGTATTACAGAAAGCATGTTCAAGTAAAACAATCTTTACTTGTATAAGCCGAGGCCCTGAACTTGAGCTGCTTCAGCATGGCCAGCACCAAGATCCTCAGCAGTAGATCCTCTCTTCACGAGTTCTGCATACTCGTGCTTATCAAGCCTGTTGCCTTGAGGCCGTGTAGATCGCTTAGGAGCTAGTCCCAATGCCTCACGCATAGCCTGCTCTTCCTCTTCCTTTATCCTTCTTATCTCCTCTTTGGCTGCTTCAGCGTCCGATGCCGCAGATTTTTTATCCCTTGCATACCAGTGTAGGTCTTTGCCTGATGGAAAAAAAATGGCCAAAGGAGGAAAAGAGAGAGAAAAGGGAATGGAATTAATTCCAAACAAGGAGTTGAATCTAACACAAGCCTAAATAATGGTAGATTTAAATGATAATGCACACAATAATTTGACCAACGCCAGCCCTTTCAGTCACGCTTATGCTCAAACTACTGTTAGGTAGAGTCAGGTGACACATGATAAACATCCAGCATTCTATCACGTATAATTACTTATCTGATTCATTGCTGGGTTTAGCTTCCATATTCTCTTAGACGCATCTAGAATGAGAATGTATTTTGTTTAAAGAGAAACTGATGAAATGGGGAATAAGCATGAAATGGAAAGTAGTTTCTGTGGTATAGTAGAGAAAAGAGGGACAAAAAGGACAGAAAATAAGAAATTAAAACAAAAATTTCCTTCCAGTTTATCTTCTCTAACATAATGGAATTGAGAGGGAAAACAAAAACTTAACAGGGATGTGAAACCTCATAGAATCTTGCTCAAGGGAGTTAGTACAATATGCAACTTCCATCTCATATTTTATACATTTCTTGCAGTTCCCTTGTGAAACAAATATAGGACATGTCATGGGAGTAATGTGCGATGTAGGCCTGCTGCAATTGACTCTATAATCTTCTACACAGAGTCACATAACATAAAAAGTAATGGAAAAATTGGATTTCCACAGAAGCAAATAAACCTGAGTTCACAATTCATGTTAAGAGTTCTAATTGTTCTATAACCATACCTTTCTGCCATCTGCCAACAGGGGCCTTGATACTATGACCAAGATAATTCTCACGGTGCTTATCAACTTTCACATCGTCCCACTTGAATTCTGGTTAACAGAGCAAATTTTCAGTTAGATCATTCTCATCTATCAAAAAACCAAGTCCAATATGTGAGATAAAGTGTCACACAGAAGAGGATCAATAACGAATTGCTACAATTATTAAGTTGCTTTCAATTGCAAATCCACCTTGCAAGT